TCCGAGGAGTATGAAACTCCTTTATTTGGATGCTCTTAAAAGTAATCCTATGTTCCATTAGGTTTGGATAATTTATTCTTGAAATGCAGTTACTATGAAATGACCAGACTATTTATTAATTTCTATGTAATGAATAACATGGCTAAAATGAAGTATTTTACACGGAAGCTTTTATAAACTTTTGAGTAATAAAGCTTGGGTTTTATTTTTCCAACCCAAACTTTGAAGTGCATTAAATAAAAATTAGGAAAGGCATATAAACAATGTCAATAGAATCTGTTAGTCACATATAAGGAATTAACTTGTTCACCAATATGTTATAAAGCAATATAATATGGAGGGTATCTTACATATTGCATAGAGTTGATGCAGTTTCTGTCAACCTTCTTTTCCTGACAATAACAGAATTATTAGATACAGTCCAGCTGTATTTGACCTGTTTTCTGTAATGATACAACATTAGATTTTTTTCTCCCAATATCAATGTCTAAACACAAAACAGGAAAACAATAAATAGTAATAGAGAAAAATAGTGCTTTGCTTCTTGGAAAAACCAATACTCATCACCTTTTACAAATTCTGGTTGCTTTCTTGTGGAATGCATCTTATTGAAAAAGCTTCCTATTACTGACGTAAAATGGATTTTCCTAAAAATGTGAACTAGGATGAGGTTAGGGGTGCAAAGCAGAGACAAACAAGACCCAGAGACATTCCTACACGGGGTGAGACATACAGTCGGGGAGGAGAAGCTCGGTGGGTAGCAGTGGGAACCACTAGGAAAAGGTATTCTTAGCTAACATTTCTGTTTGAGAAATTTTCTTCTACTTTTGTGTGTGTGTGTGCTGGAGAAAACCTGGTGTTTTAAAATTGCCAGTTGTATCAACTAACTCCAAATCCACTGCCTATCTAACTTACATCTGAAAAATGTAAAATGGGTTATTGAGGTGGTAGAGAGTGGGGTGGGGCCAGGAGAGAGCCAGATGCCAGAGTTGAAAGGTGTAAGATTTTTATAGCTTAATTAAAAGCAATGTCCTTAAAGAATTTACATTCTTAGAACACAAAGTTCACTGCTATCCCTGTCGAGGTAGAAAATGACTTATTTTAGAAGTAATATGTAGAAGGAACTCATAATTTTCCAAGTCAGAGCTTATATGACTACTTTTCTCTTTTGATTCCTGTCAAAGATATTCCATGAAGTCTAAAATAGAAATGCATAAAAATCAGTGAGGCAGTTATGTCTTGGTAAATTGTATCCTTATATAAAATTTATTACGTGAAGGATTCCTAACAGTAAGTCACTGGGAAAGATCTTATCATAGAATTAAATAATTTGCATCTGGGAGATATGGTGTGTTATTTTTCAGATACTATTTTAAGAACATATTAACCCTGTGGATATCAAGATAAGTTAGGCATAAGAAAAGCAGGACCAAGCAAAACATGCCTCTTTTGAGTATTTTAATAATACATTCCCTTTACTTGTAATCATTTTGATCCTTTCCTTTTTGTCTTTCATGACTTAGTGATTCATCTAATGTGTATATACTGCTCAATGTCCTGAAACATGAAGATGGCAATTAGATAACCAACTGGTAAAGCGGAAATGAAAATGTACGTTGTAGGAGACTGACCGATCTTTATTATCTCAGTACATATCCTTTTTAAATGTGCCCTTCCATGTGCCTCGTGACTTAAGTCACAAACAGATGATTGTGCCTCGTGATCAACAGAGTAAACAAACGTGGTTCTTAGCAGCTGAGAGTGCTGGGTTGAGAGGGATTGAGACAAGCCAGCTGTGCTGGTGGGCCTATCTCTTGTGCTCCACCTTAGCTACAGAAATCAACCACTGGGTTAGGTAGGGACCATTCAGAACCAGAATTAGGTACAAAGACTGAGAAGAAAATTCTGCTAGGGTGATGCATTAGTTCCAGCTCAGACAATAGACAGGAACAGTGGGTTGAAGAACAGCTATTCTGGGGACCCTTAAAGAACTCAGACGTGGGAAGAATAAAAATGTGTCTATGCCAGTGCTAGTCACCTGAGGATTTTTTTCCCCAATAATTCACTAGATGACACAAAATGTGTGCTTAAGATGGACAGGGAAAGATGCAATGATAAGAACAGTCATCTTTGTAATGGATCATAGAAGAAAATGGAAAGCTAAGATGTAGGAAAGAAACTCAAAGGGAGGTGGACAGACACCAAGAGAAATACTGAACACTCGAGTTTTACTTAGGTCTCACCCTGTCCCTTTTCTTCTTAAAAAGCCATCTTCATTCCTCAGGAAAATGAAAGGGAAAGGAAATAGGTCTGGGCTGTGATCCCCACACCTATTCCAAGTGTGGAAGAGTCAATGGGAGGAAGGGTGACTGATAGCCACAAGCTGCATTTGGCACAGGGGCCTCCTGCTCAGCTTAGGCATGAATCAAAGCACTGAGGTGTCATCTGCACACCCCAGGCTGAGATCACCTCCTAGGGAAAAGAAATTCCTATGTGTAGGAATTTTTTGGGGGGGTGTCTGGTCGTGAGGCCTGAACTCTAGGCCTGGGCGCTGTCCCTCAGCTCTTCAGCTCAAGGTTATAGCACTTTACCACTTGAGCCGCAGCACCACTTCCAGCTTTTTTCTTTTTGCTTATGTGGTGCTGGGGAATCGAACCTAGGGCCTCAGGCATGCAAGGCAAGTGCTCTACCACTGAGCCACCTTCCCAGCCCATGTGTAGGAATTTTTAAAACCTCGCTTACAAGGATTTCTCTGTGGCAAAGCAAGGGCTTAAGGGGGTTCTGGGACACCTGCTCGCAAGTGGTATCAGTGAAGTCATCTGGGTCCTGGGTATACATGCAGACAAAGCATCTAGGAACATGATTCATCAAAAAGTATGTATCCAAATCACCACTGCCCTCATCCAAAACTCATTTACAGGAACATTCTAGGCAATGAAGAATTCGATTAACTGAGACTTTGAAGAATAGATAAAGGATGTTACATAAAAAGAATCATCAAACCCAAAAATTCAATTATTTACATCATTCACTTAAATGTATAATATATAAAAACTTGAGACACTTTTCTATTGGCATATGTATTAACCAACCAATAAACAATGTCATCTTAACACATTACACTAGACTTTCTCCTCTCTTTCCCCACTCTTCTAACAGTTAGACAAAGATCTGGGATGTCAAAAGACTTGGGGACCTGGCACCTGATATTTTGGTTTTATAGGAAAGCATTTAGAGACGGATACCATGTAGGAGGGGAAACAGAAAGAGGGTGGCAAGAGGAGATCTTTGACTTCACAAGTCAGCAGAAAAACAAAGCTGAGTTGCTTATTACCCTTCTAAACGACTTAACTTCCCTTTGGAAAAAATTCCATTCTTCTGTAACACAGGAAAAATATATGGTTAAACATACTTAGATAGGAACCCATAAGTTAATTTTTATTTTATTTTTGCAGTGCTGGGCACCAAACTGAGGGGCTTGTGTATGCTAGGCAAGTGCTCTACCACTGAGCTACATCCCTAGTCCTCATTTTAAAAAAGTAGTTAAATACCAAAGTTATAAATAAGAATAAACTGTCAAAGAGTTAAGTTCTTCTAATAATTAAATTATATGTCTGACAATAGTTCATTTAAAATGTTCTTCTTATCAATATTTCTCTTTAAATACTGGGCAATCAACTGTCCAGAAAATATCAGGGATACTATATGTCAATATTTTATGTACATATGTGTATATATGAATATAAATGTATATGTGATGTATATATACACATACATGTGTATATGTGTGTATGGTGTGCATGTATATCTATTGAGCACCTACAAGGTTACTTCACGAAAATTGTTACCACTGGGTCAGTACCCTGTTACTTTTCTTGTGTAGAACATTTACAATGGTATAATTAATTTTGGAATATATAATGGCTACACAATACTTATTTAAGGATTTTTTGTGACATTTTGATATGTATGCCTTTGGCTTTCAGGGATTTCACAATTATAATGCTGACTTCTTTTGAACATTATACATAGTGGTTTTGAAAAAGAAAAAATAGTATCTCCCTGGTAGGATATAACAATTTGTATGAGATAATAAGAGAAAGCCCTTAAGAAAAACTTTACATTTCTTCTGTTGGGTAGCTTATGTCAGATGTCACTGTGGCTAGTGTGTAAGTGTGGGTTAGCAATCAGCATACATATCTTAGTTGAGATCTTGGAGAATTCCTAAATGTCAGCAGTCCATTATAAATTTAAACAGAAAGTCAGATGTTTATTAAATTGAAATAAAAAAATAGGAAAATATGGGAATTTTGGTTTGAAAGGCTGCAATTAGTTTTGTTAGGCAACAGAGCACATAAGCTCATTAAATTTCAGATAATTTTCTTAATATGCACACCTATGGTTTATGGTATGTGGGAATAAAACTGCCTGCAGAAGATGTCTATCATTTGTTGATTATGGCATAGACACATGTTCACAGAGTCTTAGGTATAGAATATTTATGTAAAACTCTACATTAAAGAACAGGAAAGTGCAGTGCCCTTAGCCAACACAAAGGTACTTGGGTAATAATAAATTAAATCCCATTAAACTGATATTAAATCTATTAAAGTGTTACAATATTAGGTATGACATGCAAGAAAAGAAATGTAATTCAGGCAGGAATATCGTGCATGAAGGTTTGCATTATTCATAGTATTTGATGGGTTGGTTTAACCATATTCTTTGACCAGTGAATGATTGGATCACCTGAAGTGATCCTTTGAGGTGATGCCAATTTAACATTCAAAGCACACTTTAACTTCTATCTTCATCTCTCAGCCAGTGATTTTAAGAAAGAAGCCAATGCTTCCACTAATGGAGCCTAAAAAGTTTTAGCCACATATTGCCACACAGTTGTACAGTAAGAATCTTCTAACAGATCTGATCCAATGAAAGCAAACAATTAGCAATCCCCCTTTTAGACAACTTAGTCATTTCATATTACTTCCATTAATAAAAACTATTGTGAGCATATTTGAACATGTCAGGTTTGCACTATAAGAAAATGGCTTTATGGAATGTTATTTTGGCACAAAAATATTTCCTAATACTTCAAATCAAAATTTTCACCCACAGCAAAACATCAAGCCATAGAGGTGCTTCCGTGGTGCTTACTTGTCAATGCAGAAAACTACAACAACAGCCAAATGCTTCCAAGAACTTTGTATTGAGTAGCAAACACTTCTCTTCCAAGGAATAGCACCAATATGATTACACTTCATACTGGGGAGTACTCCTTCCAAGCTCTTTAATTCCCTGAAGAATTCGCTTCATATGACCCACTTTCGGTATCCCCAGGTCCTGAAAGGAAAAAAGAAAGGAGAGAAAAGACAGACAGACAGAAAAAAGGAAGGAGGAAAGAAAAGAAAAAAGACAAAGAACTTTATTAATAAGGTAAACTGGGGATTAAATATATAACCAGCAAGTAGTCTTCAGTTAATCTACTTTAGTTTTTATTCAATAGTTCAGAAAGTGACATCCAGAAAAACAAATTAATAAAACAAAAATAACCTGACATTGGAAAATTATCAAGTTACAAAAGAAATCACATCCTACACAAACTTAACTGTGATATTTTCATAAAAAAAAAAAAAAAAAAAAACCGTTGGCGGGGGCAGGGAGGGGGGGGGTGAGGGGGTGGCATTGATCCAGAATCAAACCAATACAGTTTCTCTTCTCATTTTCTTTTCTGCCCTGGAACTTGAACTCCAGGCCTGGATATTGCTCCTGAACATTGGTGCTCAAGGCTAGCCTTGTAACATTTGAGTTACAGCTCCACTTCCAGCTTTTTGATAGTTATTTGATAAGAGTCCCTGGGACTTTTCTACCCAGGTGACCGAAGGGTGATCCTTAGATCTCAGCCAGCTGTGATTAGCCAGCTAGGATTACTGTTGTGAGCTACTCATTCTCAACTCTCTTTCTCTGTTTAAAGACAGGATCACTAGGGACCTCTGAGGCAAATGATGGAGAACAACAGAGAATCTTAGGAAATCTAAGGCAACTATAATTTTCTTGTATGTGCATACACACATGCACAAAGTATCTCTATCTAATTATCATCTTTATTTCTAACTCTATCAGGCTTTGAACTGATTTTGAACTCCCAGGTTCAAGTAATCTGTTGGTCTCAGCTTCCCAACCTGTTGGAACTATAGGTGCAACTAACTAAACCCAGCTCTGCAGTTAAAATGGTAAACTTAAAACTGAGGCCTAATCTAGAGGAAACCAGTGCTTACTACCAAAATGTGGAATGCTAAGTGTAGGCAAGAGCCTTTGACTTGGGTGTACTATCCAATTCAAATATTCTTTACACTTATTTTGACACACTATTTATTGCCTGAACTTTCGTCTTTCTGAAAAAGTCAAGAATCCAACCTTTGTCTTTCAGGTGTAGCTGATGAGTACAGCAAGAGCTGTGGAGGTAAATACTTGTCACAGGAATGAATGAAGGTCACCCAAGATGGTGAAGATCCCAAGTACCTTAAAAGCTATGAGAAGCTTACAGCTTATAAACTCTGTTTTCTTTACAAGTAATGACTATAACCAGCTTGCAAGTGAGGGAGATCAAGCCACTTCCTCAAACGGGGGAAAAAGTGAAAATTTGTATCAAAAAATAAAGAAAAAAAAGACCCCCAAAGCAACCTTAGAAGCAGTTATAAGATGATCACACCACTGGTTTTCCAGAAAAGATGAAGATTCCAAATATTCTTATAACTTATTTTTAATCTGGCTCATATCTACCCATATGGCACACTCACTGTCTTTCGGGTTTCATGAGATCTTTCAGTTCTGTAACAGCAATACTCTCCACCATTCTCAATCCTCCCAGAAAACATCCCCTCCAACACTAGGGCTATTCTCATTTCACATTTAGCTGACACAGAGATAAAACCAGGTAAACAAAATTAGTACTAAGCCAACTATTCATTTCCTGGATTGTGATACATACCAGACTTAAAAGCGAGGCCCAATCCTAGTGCAAGAAATGAGTCTATGTCATACATATTTACAGTCGAATGGAATACTTAGGTATTCTTTATACTTTGGGATAACATAGGTATAGACTCATAAAACATTTAAATAACAATGATTTCATTTTAGGCCACATTCACACCATATTCTCCAGAATACAAACTTCTTTAGACTACTCAGATTTACTATTTTGGAATAATAAGATCAGTGTTGTCCATAATGTAACCTGGAGTTACATTACCTTCTTAGCAATATTTTCTTCAGTATACACAAACTCAGAATTTTTGTCTCTTCTAGGAGTCTGGCTGTGATGTGTTTTGTGTTTGCTTGTTTTTGTGGTACTAGATTTTGAACTCAAGGCCTTATGATTGTTAAACTGAGCCACCATCATACATGCCCCCAGGCTTTTGTGGTTTTTAGTTTATTTTTTAGGTGAGATTTTACATTTTGGTCTGTGGTGAGCCACAGAATTTGATTTTTCTACCTTTTCCTGCTACATAGCTGGTATTTACAGGTGTGTGCCATCCCATAGCAGGCCTTTTGATAAAGTTTATTATATCTTTCAAAAAAAATCACATAGCACATATTTTTAAAATATAATTGTATAACTTTTATCATATTACTTGACATTGGCCTTTTGCTTTCTTTGGATGAGTAAGTCTAATTTTTCTTTCTTTTTGCCAGGCCTGGGGCTTGAAATAAGGGCCTGAGTGCTGTCCCTTAGCCTCTTTGTACTCAAGGCTAGCACCCTACCACTTGAGCCACAGCACCACTTGCAGCTTTTGAGTGGTTAATTGGAGATAAGAATCTCACAGGAACTTTTCTGCCTGGGCTGGCAGATCTCAGATCTCAGCCTCCTGAGTATCAGCTAGGATTACAGGTATGACTCATTGGTGCCTAACTTGAATAAGCTTCATTTTACCAAAGCATACCAACATGTAACTCTAGTGTGGAGGAGGACTGTGGGAAGGCAGTGAAAGGAGACTTAGGTCCACGACTTGGAAAGAGTCTTGATAGGGAGAGGAGATGGTAAGGAGGAGGAAGGTCCTAGATAGGACTCCTCTTTTTCTGCCTGTGGCACCTGGAGAACCAATACAGAGCAGTAGAGAAGGGGCAGAGCTGGAGTGGGATAGGAGATCCAGATTTGGTTTGGGATATTGAAGTATCTTTAGAAGGTTAGGCAGGGCTAGAGCGAACTTGCTAGCCACAGATACACTCTCACGTAGCAAGTATGGCAATGAGTGTAGATGAGATAAGCTGGGTAGGTAATTCTTCACCAACTTACAGGTTATTCTGAAGGTTCTGCTGCTTCTCATAGTTCAATACAAGACAACAGGAGAGACTGCTCTCTAGTGGCATGATTTGTAGTATGGAAGCCTATTCCTATACAAATTTCTTTTTCCTATCCCACCACACTCTGTTTTACAACCAAAACAGTTAAAACACACACTGTCAAAACTTACTAAAAGTTACAAAGGAGGGGATATAATTTGTAGTAAAAAAATCAACAACAACAAAAAACATGAGAAGCTAACAAAGGTTTATTTATTCTTACAACTGTCTCTACTCTTTTTCTAAATACATGTACTATCACTTTAACTGAGCATTATTTCATCATTTTGCAAATATTTGTTTCATTTACTGTGAATATTTGTACGTTTGTGTGCTTGTATATGTATATTTATTTTTTGTCAGTCACAGGGTTTGAATTCAGGGCCTGGGCACTGTCCCTGAGCTTTTTTGCTCAAGGCTAGCACTGTACCACCTGAGCCACAGTGCCACTTCCAGCTTTAGTTGTTTATATGGTGCTGAGGAACTGAACCCAGGGCTTCATGCGTGCTAGGTAAGTACTCTACCACTAAGCCATATTCCCATCCCTCCTTATATATATTTATATAACATTTATACATATGTTTCTGTAAAATGTGCACAAATAAATGTATTTAATAGATGTGTATGTTTATATACACAGAGGGTTTTCTTTGAATGCTTATTCACAGACAATGAGAGGAAAATCTCTCCACAGGAAAGAAGCCACCCTAGAGAAACAGACATAATAAACTGATCAATAACTACTCAATCAGTGCTACCAACCGCCAAGAAACTCAAAGCTGTACAATATGTTGTATACACCTCTTTTCAAGTTTTGAAATCAACGTTTGCAGTGTGAACTTTTTTTTTTTGGGGGGGGGGTCCAGTCGTGGGGCCTGAGCTCTGGGCCTGGGCGCTGTCCCTCAGCAATTCAGCTCAAGGCTAGCGCTCTACCACTTGAGCCACAGTACCACTTCCAGCTTTTTTTTTTTTTCTGCTTATGTGGTGCTGAGGAATCGAACCTAGGGCCTCATGCATTCAAGGCAAGCGCTCTACCACTGAGCCACCTTCCCAGCCCCTGCAGTGTGAACTTTAAACACTGTTAGTATCACTCTGTTCCAGTATGAGGACTCTCAATCAAGTTATTTTCATTATTGAAATTTATTTCTTCACTTCTTTGTTTGGGGGGGGGGGGGAGGGGGTCCGGTTGTGGGGCCTGAACTCTGGGCCTGGGCACTGTCTCTCAGCTCTTCAGCTCAAGGCTAGCGTTCTACCACTTGAGCCACAGAGCCACTTCTGGCTTTTTTCTTTTTGCTTATGTGGTACTGAGGAATCGAACCCAGGGCCTCTTGCATGCAAGGCAAGCGCTCTACCACTGAGCCACTTTCCCAGCTCTAGGGTTATCTTTTATTTCCTTTTTTTTTTTTTTGCTGGTCCTGGGCTTGAACTCAGGGCCTGGGTGCTGTCTCTGAGCTTTTTTGCTGAAGGCTAGCACTCTATACCACTTGAGCCATGGCTTCACACTTCTAGCTTTTTTCCGGAAGGGGACCCGTCCCCTTGCTTAATCAAGTCTCATGGACGCTTCTGCCCTGGGCTGGCTTCAAACTGATCCAGAGAAACTAGGATTACAGGCATGAGCCACCAACACCCAGCTCTTATTGTAGTTTTTAAGTGGCATTGTGTAGTATGAAAATATAACATGATAAAATCCTACTTGGACAGAATCAGGTATTTAGTTGTTTCTACCATTGAGTCGTCAGCCAAAAAATAAAAAAGTTCTGCAGACTATAATTTAATAATATTCCTTCTTTGTAATAAATGACAGAGACTCTAAATTGCTTTCTAGCCAAAGGAGACACCACAGTACTTTTTTGAGACTAATAGGATATCAATGCTGCATCATGGAAAGAAAATTTGAAATTTGTTTAGTTGATTGTATGACTTCTGAAAGGCCAATTTATGACGTGGTCATAGGATGGTAAATCACCAGATTCTAAGTAGTCATTGCTGTAAGTCTCTTATCTAGTTCCACATAACATAAAAGGTTAGTTATTGGTATTTTTCATGGATTATTAGTTGGTAACCTTATGTTAGATTTGTTTAGTCTTTTCTAGCAACAGTTTATCACTTCCATGCTGACACACACAATGAGCTGATGGAAACAGGAAGCAGTTGGAAATATTTGCACAGGGACAGCCACATCGATGGATGCAGAGAAAAATTAGTGAGTGCATGCTGTGCTCTGCCTCTAATAGTCTGATTTTGACAGGAAAGTATGGCTGATATTCTTTTTTTTTTTTTTTAGAAAGCACACAGTGAACTCAGACAGCAGGACAGTGAATGATCAGGTGACTGAGCATTTGTATATCACAAGCCAAGCTGAAAGCACAGAACAGAAGAGGCACAGTAGAAAGGATTCTGTTTTGTAAGAAAATTTTCCAGAGCAGAAGAGTAGCACAAAGAAAATACCTTAAGGTCTCGCCTTTCCAGATGCAAAAGTTCAGCCCCTCTGATGTCATGACGGATGAAGATTTCTTTGTACTCTCCCAAATTGAGCAGATCCAGCCAAGCAGCAACTTCCTCTGTGCCCCATTTCTGGACTACCAAAGTTAAGAGCAAAACCCCCTTAATTTCTACATGCTCAATGCATTACAAAGCAAAGGTTGGCCAAAGAAGCAGCAAAACAGAGCAGCAGCAGTGCTAGCAAAGGAAAGGTCAAAGGTGCTTCAACAAACTATAGTTCCATTTTTCCCATGCAGCTTACAGACTATCAATGGACACAAATATCTAACTTAAACAAGGACATTTGCTACTGAGCACTCATGCCTTTAGCTTTTTTCCAATTTCCTCATGAAAACTACCCAAACTACTATAAAAATTATTTTGTATCAGTATCAGTGGTACTTGTATGTTTTCCTTAGGACTATAGATGTCCTGGGGCTTGATCTCTGGGTCTGGATGCTGTTCCTGAGCTTCTTTTGCTCAAAGCCAGTATTCTATCACAAGAGCCACAGAGTACTTTCAGACCTGATATTGGAGGTAAAAGTCTCACAGACTTTCCTGTCCAGGCTGGCTTTGAACTGTGATCCTCAGATCTCAGTGTCCTGAGTAGCTAGGATTATAGGTGTGAGCCACTGGCACCTGGCTGTTTTCTTTATTGAGTCTACTGCTACTGATTACATCAATAAATATGCAGTGAGATCAACTTGATTTTATGTATGTATGTATGTATGTATGTTTATATATATTTATTTGCCAGGGCTTGAACTCAGGGCCTGGGCACTGTTCCTGAGCCTCTTTTGCTCAAGGTTAGCACTCTACCTTGAGTCACAGCATCACTTCTGCTTTTCTCTATTTATGTGGTACTAAGGAAGTGAACCGAGGCTTCATGCACGCTAGGCAAGCACTCTACCACTAAGCCACATTCCCAGCCCCTGATTTCATTTAGAAACAGTGAGTATTGCTCTCTAAGATTAGTTACATTATGCTATTTTTCATATGTGCAATCATCATCATAAACTTTAGTGACTACTAGTTAACTTAGTAAAAACCTACATTATTTCATTTCATATTTTGGTATTTTATTGGGGCTTCACCTTAGAGCCTGGGCACTGTCCTTTAGCTTTTGTGCTCAAGGCTGGTGTTCAAACACTTGAACCACACTTCCACTTCCAGCTTGTTGGTGGTTAACTGGAGATAAGTCTCATGGACTTCTCCCTCTGGATTGGCATTGATCCCCAGTCCTCAGATCCCAGCCTTCCAGGTAGTTAAGGTTATAAGCATGAGCCACTGATGCCCAGTTAGGCTTGGTTTTTAAATGCACTTCAACAGGTATCCTATGAGAACCCAAACATTTTCATGATGGCTAATTCATAACTTAAGAATTTATAAAATAATTTATAAAATAATTTATAAAATAATTTATAAAATAATTTATAAAATAATTTATAAAATGCAGTGCTCATACAGTGAACTTAGAGGTAATTTGGCATTCCTACAGGAGTAAACTTCATCTCTTAAAGAGGTGGAAGAGGAACTAGACACACAGCAGCACAGAAGAGGTTTAATTTTTGCTTGAGAAAGCAGGTGTCACAGCAGACTGTTATCAAAGGCTGAAATGGTGTCCGTAAAACAGAAGAAAGAAAACACATGACTTTAGATAGAAAACATGTTTAGTAACTTAAAGGAGTAAAGGAAAGTGTCTATGTCATCTGCTTCTAAGTCATCTGAGCTTTGAACTCTGAAGAACAAAAACAAGTTACACACTGATGTCTTGAGTTGCTGTCGAGAAAGATAAGGACCCACCTGAAAACACACTCTCACATCCACTCAACAAAGGTGAAGAGAATTAACAGCAGCTTTTACTGGGCTTTTTAACTACAGATTCTTACTGAGAATCATTTTTGGTATGGTGTAACTCACTTTTTAAAACTATTTTAAAGTGTACAATTCAGTGACATTGAACACATTCCTAACATTGGACAATGCTCACTAGCTCACGCTAGAACAATGTCTCATCACCTACATTTCATCACTGCTTTACTCAGTTATACTTTTCCCATTGTGTTGACCACCTACCAGGCTGCAAGCTTGTCTTCTGCTTCTGAACCTTTTCCTTTTTAAACTTTGGCACTATACGGAATACTGTGCTTCTGTTGTTTCTTTTAGTGCAGTCCATGGGAGGCTCCTGTTCCAATCAAGTAAAACAAAACAAAACAAAAAAGAACTGTGTTAGAATATGGAGAAAAGAAAAAGTCACAACCTGCAATAACATAGCTGCAAATACTGAACACTGAACAACAGTAACTTCTTCAAAAACAGTCATGATGCTGGGTGCTGATGTCTCATACCCAGCTATTCAGGAGGTTGAGATCTGAGGATTGTAGCTCGAAGCCAACCTGGGCAGTAAAGTCTCTTATCTCCAATTAACTGCCAACACAAACAAACAAACAAGCCAGAGGTAGAGCTATGGCTGAAGTGGAAGAGCATTTTCCTTGAGTAATAAAAGCTTAGGCTCTGAATGCCAAGTCCCAGGATTGTCACAAAAATACAAAACAAAACACAAAAACCTGTTCGTAATATAAAGCATTAAGAAAAAGGTCCTCATTCCCATGAAATGCCTCTTCTCCTTTAAAGATTAGTACATTTGTACATTTGTAGGTATTATTCAATTCAAAATTCACTTAAGAAACAGGCTGAGTTTTACATACCTCATCCTCGTTGGGGTGTAAGATGTAATAAAGCCAGGGGATCTCTGTTAACTTCTGCAACTCCACCTCCACAGAGTGTAAGGCACTGGATACCCGCTCTTCATGTGGAGACTCCAACTGCTACTCACCAGCAAGGAAAAAGCAAAACAAGTGGGTGATGAGCAGTGAGTATGATGAAAAGTACAGTGTGCTTATGTATTTGCAGGGGAGAATTCCAATGGTGTAATTCCTCTGACAAACGAACTCACAAGTCCAACTAACTGAATACCAGAAAACTGGCATTTGAAAGGCGTAGGGGAAGAGCTCAAAAAAGGGGGTTAAATAAATGAAGAAAGGAAGAAGGGGAGAATGCAGTCATAATGTATATCCTATGAAATTAAGAAAACCGAAGAGAAGGGATGGATGGATTGGGAAGGATGGGGAAGGATGGTAAGGGGTGTTATCAATCAAGATTCATACTTATGATCTGATGTGTTGAGTAGCAATTTTTCTGTACAACTACTTAAAGATAATAAAATATAATTTAAAAAATTGAAAAAAGGTGGTGAGAGGAGGAGAGGAAGTAACAGAAGGTATGAATGTAATCAAAGTATGTTATATGCATGTTGGAATATCATAATATAATACTTATGCAATTAATATATGATAATAAAGAATAAAAAGCAAACCAAAACAATATTCAGTGATGACTTTCAATAGAAGAATTATGCTATTTTGGTGGATACCCTTACTTCTTAGTAAACTACTTTTAAAAAAAATAAAATGTTTTTAAAAAGACAAATGTTTGGGCTGGGAAGGTGGCTCAGTGGTAGAGCGCTTGCCTTGCATGCATGAGGCCCTGGGTTCGATTCCTCAGCACTACATAAGCAAAAAGAAAAAAGCCGCAAGTGGCACTGTGGCTCAAGTGGTAGAGCGCTAGCCTTGAGCTGAAGAGCTGAGGGACAGCGCCCAGGCCAGAGTTCAGGCCCCGTGACGGGACCCAAAAAAAAAAAAAAAGACAAATGCTTTTATATTTTCATTTTTAAATATGTGGATGGATTTATTCAAATTCCTACATTCCAAAGCTGGTATACAGAGTGACTTAATAATTTCAAAGAGAATGTATTACTTTTGGTGTTTCTTATATTTAATATCCTTTCCTTCTCTTCTCTCTCTTCCTCCTTCATTCTCATGCTTACAGGAGGAGTAAGCTGTCTCATTATTTTATTTATATTTGTGCTAAAAATCATTCTGATTGCAATAGTTCACAACATAAATAATATTTTAAGTTGGTCAAAAACATATCATAAAAAGAATTACATAGAAGCTTCCTAGAATATTAAAGTAATAACTGGGGCACTGTGGCTCATGCTACTTAGATCGTGGTTTGAAGCCAGCCCAGGCAGAAAACTCCATGAGACTCCATCTCCAAAATAACCAGCAAAAAGCCAGAATGGAAGCATAGATCAAGTGGTAGAGCACTCAAGTGGTACAGCTAAGCAAGTGTAAGGCCTTGAGTTCAAGGATCGGTACTGACAAAGGGAGAAAAAAATTAAGATAATAAGTAAACTTGAACCTCAGAAAAATATATAGTAAAAAGTTATTATAAAAGTCACAGGAAAGCAAAACTCTATGTAGTTAAAAATCTGTAACAGCTTTTGGATACATTAAAGAAAATATAACTGCTTACCTATTATCTACATAAACCCATCCAGAGGAGCTACTGAAATGAACATTTAATAAATGAACAAATTAACACTGCTATGCACATAATTGTGAGGATGTTGATTGGACTCTACTCCTGGTCTTGTTACTACCTAACTATGCAAACATAGATGTCCACTGAATTTTACAATTGAAAGATCTGAAAAGGAACAGAATATTTCAGAATATTTGAGATGATTTCTTGGTTGTTTTGAATTTCCTTTTAATCACTAGTTGCTATATGCATTTATCCATATGGAACAAATATAGCGTTGCTTTTTTTTAAGAGCAACAAAACTTGCAGTCCATGTATGAAATTTAACAGCAGTATTAAATTTTGTTTCCCTTAATGACTTTTTCAAAATAATGGTTGACTTTACACTTCCCTTTCCATTTATAAATAAGATTTATCTGCATATTCAAAAAAAAGATCTGAGAGAGTATTAATAAATGATATTACTATTTGTTAAGAACATTCTTTTTAAAGAACTGTTATTTTCCTTGTTATCCAAGGGGATTTTCTAGTAGTTAATAAAAAAAATGGAGATTCTCCACCCTACTAGATAATGCTTACCATTTTCCTTTTAGTATACAAATGTTTTGTGAAATTGATAAAATTGTTTTATATATTCATTCTAAAAGTAAAATAATCACTAAAGTTTAGTTTCTCTCATATATAATCAATTCTTTATTATGATATTGTTATTTTCAAAGCTTTTGGTAACATTTCATTGGAATACATTTCAGGCCAAACATTTGAAAATGATAAGAGTTAAACACAGAGATGAGGGAGTCTTCTAATTTTAAACAATACAATAAATATGAATAAGGTTGGACAAAGAGAGTACCTTTGGTATAAGGACAAAGTTTTGTTTGAACCAGAACATGTTTTTAGTTATTGTCAGATATAATCTGAAATGTGTCTCTATAAAACTTTTCCTGCCTGGTCAGAGTAGAGGCCGCCATCCCTTGTACCAAGAAAGCCCATTCCATTTCCTGAAGATGTAGAGGGGAGCACTAGCTCAGAGCAAAGGGACTCCTATGGCAGCAATCGGCTGGACCACATCTACCACGGGCAGAAATTCAAGCACACTCACTAACCAGCTGGCACCAACAACTCAGTCATCTAGTACAAAATGCACTATGATTTTAATAATTTTTATAACTTTCTTTAGGTATACATTTGCCCTAGCCAGAGACAAAATTACTGTGAAAAGAAATGTTTTAAGATCATCTCCTACCAACCTATTAGGCAGTTACAACAAAGAGACAGCCAATGCCTTTGGCTTTCCACATAGACAACATATGTAAATATGCCACAATCAAACTCTAGGGGGCAACCAAATCTAAGATGCTGGAACATTTGGGACACACACACACACACACACACACACACACACACACACACACACACACACACACACACACACACACACACACACACACACACACACACACACACACACACACACACACACACACACACACACACACACACACACACACACACACACGAGGTCTTTCTGGGCTAGTATAAATGCTGAGGTCTGTGGCCATGGTTAGGATCAGACTTGCTTAAACTTGATTTCCAGGACCAAACTGAGTTAAACTAGGATGGTCATGAAATTTAATTTTTGAAATGCCATTTTATAAAAGTATCCTCTTATAACCAAATCTGCAGGACTGTATTCAAATATTAATTCAGAAACAAAACCCATGCTCTACTTTTGTTCAGAGTATCTGAAAAGCTCAAGTCTGTCAAAGCTGATCAAGGATCAAAGGATGGTATAAAATCATGATCTCTGAGGGAAAATCTCTACTACTCCTGCTAGCCTGAAATAACTCTCAAGTTTAATCACATACTTTCTGCAAGGCAAAAGTATTGCCAAACAAGAAGTCCAGAGATAGATGCCAAGAGGCTGCTTTTGCCTTAGGATCTGGTCCATTTTGTTCCCTAATGAAGGTCGATTTCATCAGTCTTACATTATCAAACATTTCTTTTCCTTACCAATGGAACCCTGCCAACTAGCAAAGATTCTGTCTCATTATATAACGCCTTCACATTGATGGCTATTTCAGTGGCCGATTCTCTTGTAAGACTCTAGAAGAGAAGAAAAACAAACACAAAAACAAACACAAAAATTCTGTATCAAACTGAGATTTCATCATCAGTATTTACTTTGAATTGTATCCTCATGATTGAACTCACATCACAATTCTTAAAAGTCTTCCATATTTTAATTATAACACTTCATAGTCACATTTACCAATATGATTTCCTCTTCTAATTAAAACATCACAGAGCCAGAAAAATGTACTGATTATGATGAATATCACCAGGATCAAATCTCCTCTGTACAAATACATGTGCTAGACCAACATATATAACTCCACAAAGAAGTTAAATCAGCAATGTGTCCATGGCTCACACCTGTAATCCTAGCTACTCAGGAGGCAGAGATCTGAGAATTGCTGTTCGAAGCCAGACCAGGCAGCAAAGTTAGAGTCAGTAACTCTTATCTTCAATTAACTATCCCAAAACCAGAAGTGTAGTTATGGCTCAAGAGGTAGACCACCAGCCTTGAGCAAAAAAACCATGGAATAGTATGCACCAGTACTGGCTGGCTGGCTGGCACAGAGTGAGAGGATTGGGGAGAAAGAAAATTATGTTTTGAAGAGCCATACAGAGATAACACTTGAACAATATGTATCTCAATCACTTGAAGTCTACTTATAAATGGACCTTTATTTTTGGATTTACAACAATTTGAAAAAAACATGAGCTACACAGCCTAGAAATTTTTTAAGTTAAAGAATTTTAAAAAAGGTGTATCACAAATGCATAAAATAATCAGATAGATAACAGTCTACAACATTACTAATATAAAATATGTACCTACCTGTCATAAAAAGTTAAAATTTATCAAAATGTATGCACTGTATACAGACAAACCTTACATGATGCCATTTGCAGTTGGGAGGAATGCAAACAGAGATGCATTAAACCATAATTTCACATAGTTAACTGTGGAACCCATGGCCCACTGCAGTCACTGTAGAGCACAGGCTCTTGTGATGTCAGTGGGCTCAAGGGTTGAGCATTCAAGGAGAACAGCATGGGATACTAGACATGTCCACCTCACTACGCAGTTTCTAGTAAACTATGCATCACAATCAAAAGTGGCCTCTTGCTGGACACACCAGGGGCTCACTCCTGTCATCCTAGCTATGCAGAAGGCTGAGATCTGAGGATTGTTGTTCAAAACCAGCCCATGCAGAAAAGTCCCTAAGACTCTTACCCCCAACTAACTATCAAAAAGTTGGACGTGGAGCTATATGTAGCAGAGTGCCAAAAGTTCATGCCTCTATACTAACTACTCTGGAGGCTAAAATTATGAGGATTTAGGTTCAGGGCCTGCTCAGGTAGAAAAGACTCATTTCCAATTAACTGGAAAAAAAAGTCAGGTGTGGCTCAAGTAGTATAGCACCAGGCATGAACAAAAAATCTGAGTGAGAATTCAAAGCCTTGAGCTCAAGCCCCAATACTAGCAAAAAGAAACAATTACATGCAGATTTTCAACTGGTTCAGGTTTGGCATCCTTAGCCCTTGCATTACTCAAGGACTGACTGACTGACTTTCGCTGTCATTCTAATTACACTGCTTTTAGACTCTAATCTTGAGAACTAGCATCTACTTAAGTATTAACATAATTAATATATTTATTAAACTGAATAATTATAAAATAATACTATCTCTTCTCCCCCACACACATATACAACTTCAAAAATGTATAAATATCTCTAATGAAATAAATGCCTATGGATGTTTTCTGGGTTTGTCCTTTTTCAAGGTACAGGGGAGAAGGTAAAAGACAAAGGAAAGAAAGATGTCACAGTTGAAGGGGAAAGATTTAAAGAAAAATGGTGGCAAGTGATTATAAGGTAGAAAAAAATGCTGGATAGAATTTAGGGGAGGAAATTTTAAAATGGCAGTAAACAATTTGGCCACAAATTTGCCCTCTGCTTGTGGAAGAGTCTCAGAGACTACACAGGGCATGGCACAGTTTACAGTATTAAAGCATCTTGTAATACCAAAAGAATCTGTTGAATGAGAATTTACCATTAGATCCTCACCTCCGGACACCTTGGGTTGGCTTTGTTCAGGGCATGGGAGCATGCGTTCACGGCATGGGCCAGTTCTTGTTCTAAGAGACAGTGAATGGTGGCTGCATCACAAATCCTGGAATGAAGCAAAACAACAAAATAGCTTTGGGGAGTCTTGAGGCACACACGTGAGACTATGCGTGAAGAAGACTGCACGCATCCCTTATTGATGACACAAACAGCAGAAACATTGTAAAGACCAGACTTTCCCTGTATGAAAAGCCAGAAGCACAGTACCTAGTAATGAGTTCCTCTGCAGCCTGGGAGCAAAGCTGCATCTGGGACACCTCCTCTGTTAACAGGTCAGCGGCCTGGTGGATATACAAGTGTGTTCGCACAACTGGTTTACCAGAGTCACACTTCTGTTTATCTTCCCAAGATTTCAAAGTGCTCTCAAAGGCCTATTTAATAAAAACAGCGTTGCAGTGAATGAGACCCAGGGAAATGTACATTTAGATAGCATATGAAAATCTTTGACATTATGATTGCTTTTCTCTAATCTAGCACCTCATTAAATAAATCATCATGATAAAAAAGACATTTTAAAGCTTTTCAAGGTATCATCACAAATACAGAGTAATATGATCAATGGGGATGAGTATGTCACTGGAAAGTTAATAAAAGGAATTTATTTCTCTTTCAATTTCAATCATCTTATCTCATTTTACTATTACTAGATAGTATGAATATTGTTAGTTTTATTTGTAAAGGGCTGGCATCAACTAAAAAAAAAATATATATATATATAGTGGGAAAGAGTGTGGAAATGGTAGAAAGATGCATAGCTGCTGGGGATAAGGCTAAGCAAGAGAGAGGAACAGTTCGGAGTCTAGGGGACTTTGAAGACTGAATCTATTCTGCATGATACTACAGAGAAGATATAAGTCATCATACATTTGTCAAAACCAAGGCACATATCATAAGGAAAAATGTAAACTAGGACCTTAGTTCATAATATATTAGTATTAGGGACTAGAGGCATGGCTCCAATAGTAGAAAACCAGCTTCGCAAGCAAGCTGAACAAGCATGAAGGCCTGAGCTCAGTACTTCCAAAGGGTGGGGGAATAAAAATTCTTTCCCAGTGCTGGTGACTCAGGCCTGTAATCCTAACTACTCAGGAGGCTGAGATCTAAGCATTATAGTTTCAAGCCAGCCAGGAGAGAAGTTCATGAGATTTACTTTGTAATTCATCAGAAAAATGGAGATGTGGTTTAAGTAGTCAAGTGCCAGCCATGAAGAAGAAAACTAGTGAGCTTGAGCACATGAATTCAAGCACTCGTACCAGGGGGAAGTAAAATACACACACATATGTATACATATATACATCAGTATATACATGTGCATATGTGTATATGTATGTGAATATGCTATATATATGTATTATCTTATCAACTGTAACAAATATACTGATAACACAAAATGTTAACAGGGGAATTTATGTTACTAGGAAGGGAGTACAGGGAAACAGAATTATCTTTACTTTCTGCTCCATTTTTTTTCTGTTAAACAGAAACTTCTAAAAACTGTTGAACTTAACACGAAAATCAATAGATATTTGTTGGTGTTTAAAACATGTGACTAAAATGTAAGATTTAAGAAACACTTCAAATCTTTCCTCAGGTTTTCTATTTTCCATACAAATTTAATACTTAAAATAAAAACAGCTTGATGGCATTCTGGAAGAAATGTTTTGTTACATACTCTGTCCCTTGTTAGCATCTGAGCTCTGTTTTTATGCACAATTTTGATAATCCCTGGAGGCTGGACCCATGCTTCACCATCCACCTGCACTGGCAATCCCTCATCGCCAAATATAGTAATTTTTACTGTGCGACACTGAAATAAAACAAACACATGATTTTAGAGTAGAAGTCATCTATGAAACCAGTGCAGTTTAAGTTGGACTTCCAGTGCATTGTGTGAAATGGAAGGCTCTAGTTTATAATGACACCATAATCACCAATATGACAAGCAGTCAGTGTTGTATTGAAGCAGACCCAGCAGAAGTGTCAACTAGAACTGTCCCCACCCTCTGTTACCCAAGAAGTACAGTCTGGTTTGATTATAGAGAAACTGACCTGGGCTATTCTGTGATGCTGCAGTTTTATGACTCTTGAAACTGCCATTTGCACGCTGTCAAATATTGCAACAACTTCCAGGATCTTGTCATCAAATGATGGTGCAGCAAATATCTGAAAGGCATTACATTTTCAGAGAAGGCTTTAGGTTAAAATGGCACACTGGGCAGTTTAAACCCTGCAAGGTACATGTATTTACAAAAACAAAAGCAAAAAATAGAGAGCAAAAAACATAAATAGTAGGACATGATAATCCAAGGGGAAAAAAAGTCACTGAAGGTAGATTTAAAATAAACTTAAGCCAGGTACCAGTGGCTCATGCCTATAATCTATAATCCTAGCTACTCGGAAGGCTGAGATCTGAGGATTGTGGTTCAAAGCCAACCTGGACAGGAAAGTCCATGAGACTCATATTTCTAAATCACCAGAAAATTGAGAGTGGCACTGTGGCTCAAATGGTAGAGTGCTAGCCTTGAGCTTGAAGAGCTGAGGGACAGTACCCTGGCCCAGAGTTCAAGCCCTACGACTGACCTAAATAAATAAATAAATAAATAAAGTTTATTTTTGAAAGCACTCTGGAGTAATGCACTTCTAACTGATTCATCTGTAAAAATGCATCAAGCATCTGTCACCTATAACTCAGGTGTCAGGAAAAGTGATACATGTGATTTTAGGCAACCTGAAAAGACACAAAGGTGATACTGTTTTATAGGATAAAATCTAGTGGACATACAATTCAGCTCCCCTGGTGTGTTCTGGTATTTGGGCTTGAACTCAGGGCCTTGTGCTCTAGACCTGGTGTAAGCGATATGCATAGGCACCTTACATCTTACAATAATTGATTAGGGCATTTGGGAGTGTGGAATCAGAAACCTTGGAGGATAAAAACATGTAGACTTACTCTAAAATTAAATTTACGGTATATTATTTTCTCCTGTTTACTCTCTCTTAAGATATCATAACTATCTACAACTGAAAAATACCCAGTGCAAAGGAGTACCTTATTTAAAACCCACACTGAGAACATCAGGACACAAATTTGCTAAACCTAGTTATTTATTGTAATTGGTATTTTCAGATTACCTGAATTTAAACCCTATTTCTGCTACTTACTGTAGAATCTTTGCCTCAACTGTTTTGGTGGTAAAGTTTAGATGAAAAGTGCTGGATGTACTGTGCTGAGTGTACAATTCACTAGTAGAGGGTTTGCTTAATAAGCACAAAAGCCTAGGTTCAAATCCCAGCACTGTCACCGTCCCTCCCCCCTCCCTCCTTTCCCCAAAATAAAATCCCTTGTAGATATTAAAAAATATGAAACTCAAAGAACATATGTGACTACAAGGTATGTAGCCAGGGAACATCAGCTTTATTTATCTTAATCTTGTTAGTTTCTCACTTTCAAAATATTTAAGACTGATGGTGACACACTGGCAAAAAATAAAATACTGACTACTAGTTTTTCATACTTTAATAGCATCAGACTATGTTCTTTTTTTTTTTTGGTCAGTCATGGGGCTTGAACTCTGGGCTTGGGCACTGTCCCTGGGCTCTTCAGCTCAAGGCGAATGCTCTATCACTTGAGCCATAGTACCACTTCCAGGTTTTCTAGTCATCTTTGAGATGAGTCTCATGGACTTTCCTGCCTGGGCTGGCTTTGACCTATGATCCTCAGATCTCCTGAGTAGCTAGGATTACAGGTGTGAGCCACCGGCACCAGGCCAGAATATATTCTTATCATGAACTTTACACACACTTTACTATTTACTGAGTACTTGAATCCCTGCATGTCCATTTAAGAGTCTCAAAAAAAGAGGTCAGTAGACCTATTATAGCATTATATCAAAAGCCTCAAGTAAAAACCACTGTCTGCTGAGTCTTCAAAGATCATGCCAACACCTCATTTATATCATTGTATCAACTTCAGTAATTGTTCCTTCTCTTTCATCCTTTTCAGAATAATTGTTTTTGTGAGGTCATGATTTTCTCTTTTTTACAATATTGGGAAATATGAAAGGAATAAAAATAACCCTCAATCTTACTGACTTAATGAATCTACTCGATACAACTAAAATTAAAAATAGTTATTATGTAAATATAAGTTGAGAAACTTAAAAGGACAGAAAATTATTATGGTGGGCAGAATAAAGCCCCACTCCATCTCAAAAAATGTCATTGTGTTAATTCCTGGACCTATGAATATGTCACCTTATATGGCAAAAAGAACTTTGCAGATGTGATTAAATGATAGACCTTGACATGGGTGGATGGAACAGGATGCTGTGGGGGCCCAATGTCATCACAAGGTCATTAAAAGTGAACAAAGAAGGCAGGACAGGAGACCTCGGCAACAGAGTCTGAGATGTATTCAACCTGCCTTGTTAGCTTAGAAGACAAAGGAAGAAATGAGGGTAACCTCTAAAAGTTGGGAAGAACAACAAATATATAGTCCCCCCAGAGCCTCCAAAAAGGACACAGCCCAGCTGACACCTTAATTTTAAGCCCAGGGAGACCATGTCAGACTTAGCACACAGAGCTGTAAGATGATACACATGTGTTAAGTTGCTAAATTTGTGTTGATTTGTTATAGCAGTGGAAGATTAATACCACCATGAAGTTACAAAGTAAAAAACTTCTCTTTTTAGCTCCTAAATTTCCTTTTCCAAAGTAGATTTCTTTTGTCTTTACCCCCGCCTCCCCAAAAATCATCACTTACATCTCAGGATAAGAATTAAAGAGTATATCCATGAAAGCTTGTTGACATAGATTCTTTTTTTTTTTTTTTTTGGGTCCAGTTGTGGGGCCTGAACTCTGAGCCTGGGCGCTGTCCCTCAGCTCTTCAGCTCAAGGCTAGCGCTCTACCACTTGAGCCACAGCACCACTTCTGGCTTTTTTCTTTTTGCTTATGTGGTGCTAAGGAATCGAACCCAGGGCCTCATGCATGCAAGGCAAGCACTCTACCACTGAGCCACCTTCCCAGCCCCGATTCTTAAACAAATCTGTTCTATGCCTCATCTTCCTAGTGTAAATTATCCTAAAATAAAACTAAATTAATAGGAAAATGTACATTTTCTAAACAAAAAGAGAAGTATTCCTTTATTGTTGAGGAGGCAAACTCTTGACAGCTGCTATACTACTTACATCATCCTCTTTGGTTCCACCCCAGAAGTTGGTACCTCCGGCATAGCTGGGGATGTTCAGCACAGCGATGCCTTGCAGACTGGGAAGAGGTATATACTGCCCATCACACTGCAAGGCAAAAGGCTGCGAGGTCAGATGGAAAAGCAAAAACATTCCTTTACTAAGATACTAAAAGACTTAAGACTCAGGGGAGAGAGAGCAAAGTATAAGGATTGTTCTCTTGTAAACACATTCCTACACATGACAAAGGATTCAACCTTATTTTTTCTTAATTAAAAATTTTTGAAAGTATACATAAATAAAGCAGAAATTGTTACAGAAAACTGAATCTTTTTTTAAAAAGGAGGGTTTTTTTTCCCTCCCCAGGCCAGAACACATTTTCCCTTTGAATCTTGTTTCTCCCTCATATTATGGTCCTCCTCACTACGCCTGTTTCAGGCATCCTGCAGGAAGTGGACTGTGGAAGGGCAGGCACTGGTCCTGCCCCTGGCACCCTGTGCCTCTCATGACCCCTGGCACACTGATAATATTCTATAATAACTATATTATGTTCTATGAGTGGTGAGGCTCACACTGAGTGCTAGCTGGGTGACTCCAGTGACGCCCAGCAACCTGGAAAGTAGAAATCAGAAAGGTCACAGTTCAAGGCCAATCCAGGCAAAGAATTTACAAAGTCCTATATCTCAACCAATATCTGGGTACACACCTGTCACCTAGCTACTTGGGAGATTAAGATGGGAAGGACTGCAGTTTCAGGCCAGCATAGACAAATGGTCGATGATTTTGTTTGATTGTGGACTAATATACATTTTTCTGAGCATGTTTTTAAGGCAGACAAGACTAAGCTATGATGTTTGATAGTTTAGGTGCAATCATAAACCTTTCCACTTATTGTATTTTCATCTTTACAGTTGGTTTATTAATCCTGTCATAAGTTGAGGAGCATCTGTGCTTACCAAATTATGCTAAAGAACTATGTACCTGTATGTTTCTGCCCCAAAACAGGGTTAGGTACTGCATTGAACACTTAGGGTAAAAGACAGGATACAACTTCTTATGTGTTCTTGAGGAATGTGGCTGACTGGGGAAATAGATCGCCTCGGTTGCTTGGAGATGGGACTATGGAGGATAGCACTTTGAAATGTGAGCCTCCCCAGTAATTTCTATCTGATTTATCAAATCATGACAAATCAACCCACCTAACTGCAGTTGTATTTTTTTTTTTTTAGTGAAAAAGTAATGGGCTTAACTTTACTATGACATTCTGTCAATAAGCGACCTGGGTACCTCTTCCAGCCCACATTCCAATGTTATAATTCCAAATTATAATGCTCAGATTACAGCATTTATGACTCTGTATGAATGGTTTGCTTTAACTTAAAAGAAGGATATAAGCTAGGAAAGGCATGTCTTTCATCCAAAATAGGGGGCTCAAAAATTACTTGATCTGAGGATCAAGGTTCTAAACCAATCCAGGGCAGGAAAAGTCCAGGAGATTCCAGTTAACCCCAAAAAGCTAGAAGTAGAGCTGTGGCTCAAGTTTTAGAATATTAGCCTTCAGCACAAAAACTCAGGGATAACTCTCAGCCCTGAGTTCAAATCCCTGGACTGGCACAAGAGAAGAGTAATAATAATATTTTAATTATTAATAATTTTAATGTTATTAACAATAAATTATATAAAGTAAAAATTGTATTTATTATAAAAGTTATCTTCAGGGATTTGTGAAGTTTGGGGGAGTACTGAGTTAGGAAACTTAACTGAAGACTTTCTGTCCATGACAGACCCTATGTTTAATGCAGTCCCCTGATCCACTTTGTTGTGGGACACTGGTGCACTAAAGTAGCCCCACTTTCCAGAGTTAATGACACTGTTCACATGCAGTGCCTGAACTTCTTTAGTATCAAGGTGACCCCTACTTCCATTTTTATCCATCAACATTTAATCACAAATCAAGAGAAATTTAGGCTCAATTAGCTCTCATGTATAAAATTCTTTTTATAAGTAAGATCATTTGAAATGTACTGCCTTCAGAATGCACTTACCTCAAGTTGAACCCTTTGTTCTAAATTCTTGTAGGATCTCTGTAATAATTCCCGAGTACCAAGGACTCCATACCACATCAAGTTTTTGGTTCGGCTCCTGAAAACAAATATTGGTGAGCCATCTCAAGAAATTTGATTCATTACACCCCTTAAAGGCAGAGCAAGCACAAGAGACAATAAATGAAATTCAAGTAAAATCTCCTTCCTGTAATAACATTATTTTGAAGTTACCTGCATTTTTCAGGGTGCTCCTCTCTCTTATTATTAAATTCTAATGAAATTTTGGCATCTAATCCAATTCCAAAGTAATTGTTCATGACACATTTTTCTGAATAGCCATCTCTATGTAAATAAGGGAAAGTACATAAAAGTTAATTTCAGGTTGATTATAGAAATTACAATTTGTTCACAAAAGAGAATTCAAATCCACTTTACACTTCCATTTCTTGCAGAAGATTGCGAAGTTCAGCAGAAATCACATGACCTATATGTGTTAAGTTATGTGCACAAGAATAGTACATGTGATACAAGACAACACAAAGGCCATACCTTACTTTCATACTAAACTTCAACAAGCTGGAGTCTATCTGTCTCCTAAATAGGTGGCTCATCATATGGGCAAACGAGGACTTGGGGAGGGTCTTGTAGCCAGGTGGCTATAGCATTCTTTTTGAACATTAGAAAGTCCCTTCTTCCACTTCCACTTTTAACAATGAACAAAATTTATTGTGCAAAAAAGCTACTAGAATTAATCTATTCTTTTAAATATTTCCTGAAGTTTAAAATGTAGCACTGTCTATATGGAGTGTGATTGTAAAAATGAGATAAAAGTGAAAATGAAAAGCTGGGCTTGGTGGTACATGTCTGTAACCCCAGCACTCAGGAGGATGAGTCAGGAGGATCATGAATTCAAGGCCAGCCTGAGATATCCAGTGAGATGTTGCCTCAAAAGAAAAAATAAAAAGAAGTAGCTGGCAAAAAAATGTTTTAGAAAAATTTTGAGAAGAAAAGAAATCAAAGTGGTAAGAAAATCTAGGTGCTGGTGTGGAAAGATTGGTTTGATGAGAGTGGTAAGAAGAATATCATGAACACTAGTTTAAGGAAACTGTAGGTAAGAGACTCCAGGGAAAAATGAATGCCAGAATGTTACTCTAAAAGGAAATAAGAGGGCCCTGGAGTCCAGTAAATTTCAAGGGCTCAAAGTCCTCATTATTATCTGAAATTTCAAAGATTTTCTGATCTCTTCTTTCATATATAAAGCCGTATAAATGGTAACACATTCAAAATTTATAAACAATGGAAAGAAGAAAAGCCAAAACAAAGTAATCAAGAAAGCACTGCCTTACATTGAATCTAGGTCAGGGTCGATAAACGGTGTTGCACCAAAAGGATCGATGTTTGCTAGTAGCATTTTGTTGATGATAGAGCTCCCAGCAATAGAGGCAGCTAATCCTGCTCTTAAACCTGAGCAGAAAGAAAAGCACAGACAGGAACACATGTGAAGACAGAACCCATCCATTCCAGTTCATCACAAACAGCTTGCTCCTAAAGTAGGGTTTTCTGGGCCAGCTCATCTCATTAACCAAAACTAAGAACTATGCTATTTATGAGTATGGGGCCTCTGAAACTCTCAAATATCTAGACATGATTATAAAGAATTAAGGAGAAGGCTGGCCACTCACACCTGTAATCTAGCTACTTAAGAGGTTGAGCTCTGAGGATCGTTGTTCAAGTCAACCCAGTCCATGAGACTCATTTCCAATTAGCAGCCAAAAAGCTGAAAGAGATGAGGCTCAAGTGGTTGAATACCAATCTTCATTTAAAAAAGCCAAGCCAGAGCTTGAGGTTTTGAGTTCAAGGCTCAGTACCTGTACCAGTACAAAAAAAAATAAGTAAATAAGGACTTTGAAAGGATTGCTTGGAGCAAACAATACTATGGGGTCTATGAGGAATTTACAATAAAGACTGAATTACCTTAAATCACAGAGTTATCCCATTCATATTCACAAAGCACAGATAATAATATGCAATTTAAAAACCTAAGAGAATTAAGAACGTTAAAAACTCAGAGCTGAGTTTTCAAAGAACATAGTTTTGAATATAAAAAAAGTTATCCTTCATGTCAATATGCAAACATCAAATGCCTATCAACTGGATTCTCCTAATTCATTATGGTATTCAAGGTTACTGAATTTTATGATCTACATAACTTAATATGAAGGCTATCAACACAAGCCTGAGAAGCAGGTCAAGTGACAGGGGCCACAGGAGATAAACAAAAAGGATAGAAGAGTGAACAAAAAGCATGCCACACTATTGGGAAACACTAGAAAATTAGAAAAACAGGACTTTGCAAAACCTCCTACTCTCAACAATGCATTCTTCTTACTGGGTTATTATCATCCATTATTTTATTTCATTTCATTTATTTTTTTGTAAGTCATGGGCCTTGAACTTGGGGCCTGAGTACTGTCCCTGAGTTTTTCTGCTCAAGGCTATCACTCTACCATTTTGAACTACAGTGCTACTTCTAGTTTTCTGGTGGTTAATTGGAGATAAGAGTCTCAGAATTTCCTGTTCAGGCTGACTTTGAATCTCAATCCTCAAATTTCAGCCTCCTGAGTAGCTAGGATTATAGGTGTGAGCCACCAGCACCCAGCTTTTACCCATTGCTTAAACTAGTAGTATGTAGTTGGTTATAAAATAATCAGGATGGGTAGAGACTGTGAAGATCAAGGTTGGAAGCCAACCTAGATCTTTTTCAGTCCTACTTGGAAAATATTTACATTAAAAAAAAGGCTGGGAATGTGGCTCAAATGTGACATACTGAATTCAAACTAGATTATCCAGGGTTGAAGGGGAATGTAGAGGTAAAAAGCCATCTCCTATCTGCCCTACAGGAACTCATTCCTTTTCATGTCTAAATAATAATCCAGTGTGTGTATATACTTCTTGTCAATCTATGCATCACCTCATGTATATTTGGGTTATTTCCCCTTTGAATTTTTAATAGTCATGGAAAAGTTCTCATTTAGAAATAATTTTCAGTTCTCTTGGATAATATACCTAGTATATTGATTGACTGATTTTATGATAACTCTCTGTTCAATTTTTTTAAAGTGTCAACATGCCTTTCAGAAGGACTGCACCATTTTACATTTTGCTTACATAAGTGGAAATACCTATTCAGCTCCACAGCAATTTTGTCACATCCTTGCCAAAATTTGTTATTCAATCAAAGTCTATCTCAGCTGCATCAAATAAGCTGGCACAGTGTATTTTTGCTTCCACTCACCTCAAAATATTTTCTCTAGTTTCCTCTTTAACTTTTTCTTTGACCTATACCTGTCCACATACCTGACCTATACCTGTTTATTCCCCAAATCTTATTTTCTTATTGATTCCTACTTTTACTCCATTGTGGTGGGAGAACATATTTTTAGGCTAAAAATGTCTATAGAAAGATGAATGGCTTAAACCCAAATGGAAGCTGCAAAGATACGTAAAGGTCATTAACAGTTAAAAATCAAATTTACTTTAAGTACTTAATAATTCAGAATCCTAGGCCAAACGCTAAAACTGAGAATTTCCCAGGGCAAGGCCCAGAGACAGTAAGTTTTAATATTTCCTACCTGTTTATCACATATAGAAGAAATTCAGGACCTGGATTTTTACAGCCAAGTACACCAGGGACATTCTCTTAAAGGTATGTTTATCTTTAAGACTACATTTCTATAGTTCATGAAAGTAAATACACATTTTCACAGACAGACTTAAAAATAGACCATGTTTCAGAATCTGTATTACCTGGGCAAATTATTCTAGTATTGAGAACTGGGAGGTTTTCTTTGGTGGCAGTCACTGCGGACCCAGGAACAGAATCAGTGTGGGGACAGCCACGATATGCCCTGGCATCTGGAGACCGAGGCGCAGTTCTGACTGTTGGCAAAAAGTCCACATTATAAAAATAATGACGATAATACTGTCTTAATGGTATTATACTACATAAGTTTCATTTACATATACAATATACTTCATATTAAAAATTACACGTATTAAAATTATGTATTTACTTGGTTATACGTTATTTTTATGTACAATGATATATCGATAAAGGCATAAGACAAGCAAACATCTGTAAGTTTGAGACATGAAAAAACAAAATATCTATTTTAAAATCAATCACTGGGAGTGAAAATATTAGTGTACTTATCTATTCTTTGGCTATTTCATTTTCATTTTGTTAAGATACTCTGGAAGGAACCAACTGAGGCAGATGTCCTGGTCTCTGATCTGAAACTGATGACGTTCAATAGAATATAGATGTCTATCATAACTAAAATCCAGTACACTCAAGTTGAATGTGGCTATCCCACATTGAAAGACAACTAGAAAATCTGAAGCCTGATGATTCTGAAAATGACACATATGTGTTCATATGTACACTACAAATATAAGCCTTTTCCTATTGAGTGAATGATATTTAACTGATGTAACTCCCAGGGCTAAGCGTGAAACAGGAATTAATCATGTTCCTAAAAATAGAAGGAAACATAGTATTTATTTTCAAATCCATGTACTTTCCCTACCCTTCTCAATGATTTATTCAAAATGATGATCTACCTCAGTTGTATTTTAATCTTGCAAAAGCATAGTGTATTTAAAAATTATCTGAAAACATAATTACACTCAAAGAAAACAACAAAAGGGAAGGTTTAATTCTGCCTAAACTGTATTAGCTTAAGGAAGTGCAAATAGTACCTTTAACTAATTTAGAAGCTATTGGAAGGTATTAAAAAAAACAGTAATACTCAAATTTAATTTTAAAGTACTCTAAAACTTAATTCTCTTCACTCTCTTTCAGATTAATTACAAACTAACTATATTAACCTTATACTTTATTGACTCTATTTAAAACAGTCCTGTTTCATTAAAGGAAAGTATCAGAATAGCCACTCTCTTCTCTTTCTTTCTTCACAAACGTGGCTTCTGGAGCTAATTTCTAACTTAAAAAAAACTTTTGATATTCATCTTTGATAAAAAGCAGGAACTGTAACAATGACTAAAACTAATGTTCTATTCCAAGTGATTAAATTAGTGTTTCTAGGTTCTTCGTAATTAAAATATCTCATTGATCACACAAATATACTGTACTTCTCTTATCTGAGACCTGCACATTGCCATAACATTTAATAATGATTAGGAAATGTGCTTCAACAAAGTAATAATTTTTTCCCAAAACTTCACTATAGACACACTTTCGCTATTGCTATTGATTTCCAATAGGCTGGCACTTCAATGAAAATTAAGATCAACTATGGTATCATTAAAGTCTCTTAAATCTACCCCTAGCATAATCCATCAAGTAAGTTTACATATGGTATACAGTCTTTTCTCATCTCAAAATATTGTCTCTAATTCCCTTCGTATTTTCTTAGGTGTAACCAGAGAAACACAAGGTTTGAAATCAAGTGAGAGACTGGTAGAGGAATGAAGGTTATGCAGTGTTTTTAGGACAGGATGCTATGAAGGGTACTTGTAGCACCATAGGGACAACACATAAAAGAAAAGCTCCACAGTAGGATTTATCTTAAAAGCAGTGAAAACCTGGTACAGAACTGCACTTACTTATTTAGGCAGTAGTGGAGATTGAACTCATGAAGATTGAACTCATGGAGATTGGGCTCATGAAAAGTTATCCCTTGTGTCATGTCAGACTTTTTGCTTCTGAACTGGTTTTTTAGATAGGGTTGTGAGTTTTTGGTCAGGTTGGCTTTGGAATTCAGTATTCCTATCTCTATCTCTTGAGTAACTGGGAGCACAGTTAAATGGACCACTACACTTGGCTTGTTTTACACACAGGCTCTTTTGGATTGTTTGTTCAGGCTGGCCTTGAAACGCAATTCTATCTCTTTCTTCTCAAGTAGCTAGGATTACAAAACATGCACTACTGCATGCAGCTGAAATTATTTGTTTTTGTTTTTTTTGGTCCGGTCGTGGGGCTTGTACTCTGGGCCTGGGCGCTGTCCCTCAGCTCTTCAGCTCAAGGCTAGCACTCTACCACTTGAGCCACAGCGCCACTTCCAGCTTTTTTCTTTTTGCTTATGTGGTGCTGAGGAATTGAACCCAGGGCCTCAGGCATGCAAGGCAAGCGCTCTACCACTGAGCCACCTTCCCGGCCCCACTTATTTGTTTTTTTAAGATAATTTTTCAATTGTTATTATAAAGATGATGTACAGAGCAGTTACAGTTACCTAAGACCGGGAATGAGTGCATCTCTTTTTGGAAAAAATTAGTTTTTCTCCCAGTTTTTCTCTTGGGTCCCACCCATAAGTTGTAGAGTTCATTTTCCACAGTGTCCAGTAAGTACCACTGATGCATTTGTTCACCCTGTGTCCCGCCATCTCTGTGTGGAACTGCTTTTTAAACCAATCATAAAGCACCACACAAATGCCAGTACTTGATATATATATATAATAGTGTCCTAATAGTTTCCTGGGCACTCATATATAGTAACTTACTTAACCTCGACAACAGCATTGGCATGTTATTTATAATCCATATTGTACAACGAGAAAACTACAGGGAGATTTTACACTGTCAGCTCAAGTCCATAGATAACAAATGTCAAAGAAAAAGTTAAATGAAAATCTCAATGCAAGTCTATAATTATAATGCAAGATATAATCATGTTGACTTTCCATGAGTAGCAGGAACTTACTTTCACATAAGCTCATCTTTACTAATACTTTCCTTTCTGCTTTGTTTGATCCCAGTAAACGAAAAACATTTTGCTTATACAACAAATATTAAAAGTACAAATTCATCTTCCATTGAAAACAAGGTAAGAGATTATTTTTCAAGCAATAATATTGATTTTTTTCTGGCAAGAATAATTTCAGAAAAGAAAGGTTATATTAATGTCCTGTGGGCTTAAAGTTTGATTTAGTGACAAGGAAAAACAGTCTAGAAGTCAGTCAATGAATCTCGAGGGCTGCTGAACCACTTATAGGCCAAATTTTGGGCCATAGGGACCTGAAGCTTCCCTACAACTCCTAAAGAAGACTGAAGACTAAAGTAGGGGTAGCTTAGGTGTTTCTTCCTCTTCCTATAGGAAAGCAAAGGTATTTATCTTTAATCCTGCTACCTTCTTTAGAGAATGTGTGAGAGGACTGTATAATAGTCTAAATAATCTGTTTCTTTTGTTACTTTAATGTTTGTGGAGAGCTAAATTTGAAGAGCCAAGTTTTAAGTTTCAAAAAACGTTTTCAAAAATAAAAACAAAGGGCTGGGAAGGTGGCTCCATGGCAGAGTGTTTACCTCACATGAATGAGGCCCTGGGTTCAATTCCTCAGCACCAGAAAAAAAAAAGCTGGAAGTGGTGCTGTGGCTCAAGTGGTAGATTGCTTGCCGTGAGATGAAGAGCTCAGGGACAAACAAAAACAAAAACAAAAACCCCAAAGAGCTGGATACTAGCACCTCAAGTCTGTAAGCCTAGCTACTTATGAGGCAAAGATCTCCATTTCAGGTTCAAAGCCAACTTGGACAAGAAAGTCTGTGAGTCTCTTATCTCCAATTAGCTACCAAAAGTCTATTAGTGGAATTGTGGCTCAAGTGATAAGAGTGCCAGCCTTGAGTGGAAGAAGCTAAGGACAGCACCAAGCCCAGTGTTCAAGCCCCAATACTGACACAACAAAGAAACAAATGAATATTAAACCACAAATAGTCCATTTTTACACTGATTTGCCTTTTGAAAACTAAAAGCAAAATGGCATCACCTTGAATTGCAAAACAATGGTGTCATAGTTTTCCTACCAGTGAGTGGCTCTCTGTTATCATCAGCTCTGGCTTCATCCTTAGGCCCATCTATGCCTGCTCCATGGGAATCGCAGGGCTGGCTAGCTGGCTCCCAGGGCCCGACTGTCGGCTCCTCCATCACTTTAAGTGGGAAGAAGATTTGTATGTTTGCATAAGTGAAAACCAACCCATTCATAGGCAACATACAATTAGGAAAGAAAAATTAAAAGATCAAAAAACTAGCAAATAAGTACTATGTGGTAATAAATTTGAGGGTGATGCTTGTAAGTATAGAGATAATAAAGTTGTTAAACTTAATATTTACAAGAATAAGAACTCCACAAAAACTTTACACAATGAAATGAAAGTTCTCTTATAAGATACAATCTTCGAAGAGTTTTTTGAACACTAATTACTCTTAATTAACTTTTTATCACCAAAATTCAAAGAGAAATGCATCCTATTAATATAAAAATTAAAATGTGGTAAAAGCTCATATATACTGTGGAAAGCAGAATAAACATTTAGAAAGTTATTGCTGAGAACATATTTCCTACCTTTGCAATGTAGTTAATTTAATATGATTTATTTTCTTTAAGAATTCAAGAGATTCTAATCAAGTAAAAGACATTTAAACTGTTAGAAATATTATTTGTCTTATGTAGATTAAAAATAGATGTGTGTGTGTGTGTGTGTGTATGTGTGAGTGTATGTCCTAGGACTGGTCCCTGAGTTTTTTCACTTAAGGATGGTGTTCTACTGCTTAAGTCACAGCTCCACTTTGGGCTTTTGAGTAGTTAATTGGAGATAAGAGACTCATGGAATTGCCTACCCAACGGCCTTCGAACTACCATCTTCAGATATCAGCTTCCAGAGTAGTTAGAATTATAAATAGGAGCCACTTGTGCCGGATTAAAAATACAAATATAAAAGCTGGGTGCCCAACAGCTCCTGCCTGTAATCCTAGCGACTCAAGAGGCTGAGATCTGAGGATCAGAGTTCAAAGCCAGCCCAGGCAGGCAAGTCTGTAAGACCCTTATCTCCAATTAATTTCAATGAAACACCAAAAAAAGCCTTGATTAGCTGTAGCTCAAGTGGTAGAGTGCTAGCATCGATCACAAAAAGCTCAGGGACAGTGTCTAGACCCAGAGTTCAAGCCCCAGGCCCAGCACCAAAAATAAATAAATAAATAAACAAATAAGTAAATTTAATTTTCTACTTTTTTTGGGAATGTAATCCTAGGAATGGAACCCATGGTCTCCTGTGCTAGGCAAGTTCACTACCACATGTCCAGCCCTCATCTTATTTCTGAGAATTAATGCGTCATTCATATTCTAGTCTTTGGTATTAAAACCATAAATAAAATTAAGTATAAATATCTTTTGGTAGATTTTTTTCTATCATATATATATATATATATTTTTTTTTTTTTTTTTTTTTTTTTTTCCTTTGCTGGTCATGGGGCCTGCACTCTGGGCCTGTCCCTCAGCTCTTTAGCTCAAGGCTATTGCTCTACCACTTGAGCCACAGTGCCACTTCTGGCTTTTTCTGCTTATGTGATGTTGAGGAATAGAACCCAAGGCCTCATGCATGCACTTCTGGCTTTTTCTGCTTATGTGATGCTGAGGAATAGAACCCAAGGCCTCATGCATGCAAGGCAAGCACTCTACCACCGAGCTACCTTCCCATGCTCTATCATATATTTTTTGACAGTGCTGGAATTTGAACTCAGGACAGCAAGCTTGCTAGGAAGGCAGGTGTTCTACCACTTGAACCATACTCTAAGCTCTTTTTGCTTTCATTATCTTTCTGTCTAAGGTTTTATTTCCCCACCCTTCCTACCAGCCTGGACTGTAGGTCTCCTGTTTACAGCCAGGTGCCTAGAGGACTGGTTCCTGCTACCAAGTCCAGTTTATTGGTTGATAAGAGAGGAATCTCACAAGTTTTTTTTTGCCTGGGTTGACCTCCAACAGCCAATTTTTCCCTATCACTGCTCCTGAGTAGCTAGCTTGTAGGTATAAGCAATCATGCCCAGCTTAAAATGCTTTTAAGCATGGGTGACCATCACAAAACTTCCACTGCACTTGCAACAGGAATGCCGCCAACTTCTCGCAGAGCTAATTTTGTGAACGTGTACCTTTTCCGGCCTCTTCAATGACTTGCCTCACTGCCTTCTTTAAACTGTTCGCACGTAGCATTATCTCCCTGGGTTTGACAGCTTTCTGGGAGGAGGGTTTTGTGATGTCATCCAAGAGCTGGTCTTTGCTTTCACACAAGGACTCTTCACTGGAAGATTCCACAGTATCTTCTTCTAGGATGGCAGGGCCCATGCCTGGGAGGACAGGAGCAGTCTGGCAATCTGTGTGCAAGGCTTGTAGCAGTTGTTCAAGCTTCTCATTGAGGACTGAACACTGGGAAACCAAAAAAGACAGCTATGAGCAAGGAATTCAAATGTGTGTGCCATTGTCAAATGCAATACAAGGATTGTATTATGTAAGATGTTCTGATTATCAGTCTAATCACTAAATAGAAAAGCACAAAAGTCAGTTATCACCTTTTATTTTATTTTCTTTCTGGGAGTATCTATTTTAACACTTGGTAGAGAGTTAAAGTAACAATTTAGAGGTGTTTGACTTGGAAGAAAAATTTATGTATGGATGCTTACTATTAACTATTAATTGTCTGTGTATATAACTTATATCTGGGACCTTGTAGAGTATATTCACCATTGAAAAATAACCTAATTCTTTGTAAACTCCTCCCGCCGCTTTTTTTTTTTTTCTTCTTCAGTAACAGGGCTTGAATCCCAGGCCTTGTGTTTGTTTGCTACCACTTAAGCCACACAAACCCTTATCACTTCTTGCTTTTCTTTTTAAAATTTTTTTTCTTTTTTGTTTTTGCTGGTCCTGGGGCTTGAACTCAGGGCCTGGGTGCTGTCCCTGAGCTTCTTTGTGCTCGAAGCTAACTTGAGCCACAGTGCTATTTCTGGTGTTTTCTGAGTAGTTTATTGAAGATAAGAGTCTCACAGACTTTCCTGTCTGGGCTGGCTCCGAACCACGATCCTCAGCTCTCAGCTGAGTAGCTAGGATTACAGGCATGAGCCACTGGCACCTGACTCACTTTTTGCTTTTATTTTGTTTTTGACATAAGACCTCACTAATTTAGCCTAAATTGGCCTCCAATTCTTGATCCTCCTGCTTCTGCCCCACCAGGTAGCTGGGATTACAGGCATGTACCAACATCCCTAGCTTAAACTTCTGAATTATACTTCTAGAATCGTTGAGACTCCATTCCACTTAAAATACTTAAAACCTACCTTTGCATATATATTTCTCTTAAAAGAATGCAACAAATATTTTACCATAAAGTGCTACAGTATATTAAAAAGTAATGCTACATGTAAAACACTAAAAACAATTTTTTTTAAAAGGAATTGGCTTATGGCACCATTTTCAGTGTTATTAGCCTCAGCTTAGCTGAACCTTGTCAAGATGTTCGAGTAGTGGTTTACAAAGGAGTGAACAAAAAAATAGGTTGCCTTGTCCAAGTGGCTCAGTACTATAATTTTAGCTACTCAGGAGGCTGAGATATGAGAATCAAAGTTTAAAACCAGACCAGGCAGTAAAGGCTGTTAGACTGTTAACTCCAATTATCCAGCAAAAAAAGCCAGAGTGGAACTGTTATTCAAGTAGTAGGGCACAAGTCTTAAGTGAGAAAGATAAGGGACAGTGCCCAGGCCCTGAGATCAAGACTTAATACTGGGACAAAAAGAAAATGAAAATGCACAGAAGTAAGGAAGAAAGAAGAGAGATATTGAAAGAATACCAAGAACTTGGCCCTTGGTTACTCTGCCTTTCTTGTTTGATGACAGGTGGGAGTGAAGTTAATATTGCCCCCTAGTGTACACACCTTTTGTCTCCACAGTCAATTTTCCAGTCCTTTCAGGACAGTCACAGTAGAAAATTTAGTGTCAACATGTAGCGAAGAGATAGCTTCTGATTTCTGAAGTTCTCCATAAATAGAATGGAATGCTTGGTCCCGTCATGGTACCTGAACTCTGGGCCTGCGTGCTGTCCCTCAGCTCTTCAGCTCAAGGCTAGTGCTCTACCACTTGAGCCACAGCGCCACTTCTGGCTTTTTTCTTTTTGCTTATATGGTGCTGAGGAATTAAACCCAGGGCCTCAGGCATGCAAGGCAAGCGCTCTACCACTGAGCCACTTTCCCAGCAGAATGGAATACTTGAAAAGTGTATGTTTATGTCCTTTCTATTCATCAAGCCACCATTTCTTTATAAACTCAAAGATACCCAAGTCTTTGTTAAATGGCTCTCCCATAAACTTAATGAAAGATGGTCACTTCGAGGGTCAATAAGCTATAGTTATTTTAGCATCAGAAAGCTCATGAAGGAGAAAATAGCAATGCAGGAAATGAACTTTTATAAGAGACCCAGGACCATATCTACAGTCCAAGGAATCCAAGCACCTGTGCTGGTAGGAAATGCACATTCTGAAGTCCACTTGGAAACAGAAAGCTGTTTCTCTCCACTAAAACCCACCTAACACAGCATCCTCCTCCAAAATGTCAATCACCGGAACTAAGACTGGCATTATAAAATTTGGTTTGTTATATATTTTGAACCATGCAGTTTTGTTACACAGTAAGGAAAACATGAACAAGAATACTTTCAAAATCCTCATATCTGATCAAAAAGTCATTTTTTCTCTTGCTTTAGGTGTCAAGGAAACCATCTAGCCAGTTCAGCTTTAGAACATGGCTCAATGTTGGCCTTGTGGGAACAAGTTGGCAGACCCTGAAGTGTCCCCCTTACTTTGCTGGCAACGGCTTCGGCTACCACTGCATTTTCCATCCTTTTGTCATATTCCTTCTCTACTTTGGCAACAAAGTCCTTTACAGTTTCGCAGAGAATCCTTTGAGGAAAGAAATTGTACAGTTCAGTAAACTTGGTTGATTTGCTCTATCTTATAAACACATGTAAAAATAAGCACAATTAGCTATACTAAAATACCTAGATCACTGGTATATAAGTGTGTCCTTTTATCCACTGTGTAATATGCCGTAGATGAGTTTAGGACCTTCTTTGTTGTTATTTGTTTTCTTCACTGTATTTTTTGCCTTTTCTTTTTATTGGTACTGTGGATGGAACCCAGGACACTGCACTTGCTAGGTAAGTGCTTTGCCACTGAGTTACATCCCAGCGCAAGTTTAGGACCTTCTAAGCGAGGATTAGATATATGGATAAACTCTGCTCTCTGTAATTAACAGTAATGTTAAATTTTAACAAGCCTTTCTGAAGCTTTGAAAGTCTTAGAACAGTACTTTCAGATCCCTTTAAAAAATCATGCAGAGCCAGGTGCAAATGGCTCACATTTGTAATCCTGAGGCTGAGATCTGAGGATTGATGTTCAAAATCAGCCAAAGCAGGAAAGTCTATAAAATCCTTATCTACAATTAATCAGCAAAAAGCCAGAAGCTGAGCTCTGGCTCACGTGGTAGAGAGCTAATCTTCAGTAAAAAAGCTGAGATAGCACCCAGATCCTGAGTTCAAGCTTCAATAGCATGCATGTGCTTGCACACACACACACACACACACACACACACACACACACACACACACACACACACACACACACACACACACATCTTCCACACCTGCTGTTGAGATTATGAACTGCAGAGGTGAACTAAAGAGAAGAATATTTACATTGTCACTGTAGGACAATGGGGTGTCCCAGTAACACACTGTTCCTGGTAAGAGAAAAAGGCTGCCTATTGTACTGTACACCAGCCTGACAATGGAACTGAGTTATATAGCCTTCTGTAACTCCATTCACTATCTCCCTTTAAGATAACCAATACAATACTAATTTAGGTCTCATTAGTGTCAAAATTCACTTGTTTGTTTCTTTTCATTACATTTGGTTTCTTTGCAATAAAGGTAAACCATAAGAGAAAATAACCTGTAACACTAATAAATCTATCTTTCTAAAGTCTTCAGAGACAGGCACTGGTGGCTCACACCTGTAATCCTAGCTTTTCAGGGGGCTGAGATCTGAGGACCACCGTTGCAGAAAGCTTGGACAGAAAAGTCTGTGAGACTCTTATCTCCAATTAAGTACTAAAAAAAGAGCTGAAGTAGAGCTATGGCTCAAGTGATAGAGTGCTAGCCATGAGGAAAAAACAAACAACTCAGAGACAGTGTCCAGGCCCTAAGTTTAAGCCCCAGGACTGAAACAAAAAAAAAGTTTTTGGTTCTGAGGTTGGATTACTAACCAAATTATAGTATATATAAAATGAAGAGTACACAATGATCGAACACAACAAACATAAAAGTTAATAGAATGGTGGTCATATAAAATAGTCACTTCAATATATTAAAAATAATTCTTTTATAATTCATTATGTCTCTGAAAAGCAACTTTTTCAACTTTCCATCGTTTTAGCAATCACTTCTGACATGTCCTAAAAACACAGGACAAGGAGAGCACAGCCAAATATCTACAGAGGACCACGCAAGTAAAAGGTGGGTATGAACTGCGCCCAGGATGAGAAAGACAATAGGGATTGCTGAGTGTTGGGGCAAACTGAAAATCTGTGTACATTCTATAATGCAACACAACTCATTAAACAAACAAATTAACCAGCAGCAATGCCAGAAACAATTTGTTGCCCATCTCCGCCTGTGCCAACCACTTGCCAATCCCTGCCTCAAGCTGGTTCTTCTTTCCTACTGTTTGTGAATCTGTCATCCAAGAGTCATGCTATACTTGTCCTTCTGCGAGTAGTAAACTTGTTTGTAATGATTTATCTTGTGTGTCCTTTTCGTTGCACATTAAGTATGTAAATATTGGGATGTTTCTACTTTCCCTCTTTGTCTTTCCTTCTTCCCCTTCATCTTCACTTTTTTTTGGAAAACTTTCTATTATCTTTAAGTAGTGGTACAAAAGAGTTGTCATTTGACAAAGCAATTTATGTATACAACGCATCTTGATCAATATTACCCCTTTCAACATTCTCAATCATCTTCTCTTTCTATATAATAAAAGTATTTGGTTATTAAGCCAGAATTTAAAAGCATTCTTTTATTTTCAGTTGAAATTTTCAGTGAGTTTTACCCAATGCCTCCAGCCGACTTGTCTGTTCTCATGGCATCAGTATAGGATGCTTCAAAATGAAATTCTAAATTCTAGCCGGGAAGCATTTAGGAAAATAACACCAAGTGGGTTTGGCTCCATGTATAGACTCAACTTAACAAAAATCTGATGAATAACTTTCAATCAAGATCTAATGCAATTTAAACATGCTGAGAAATGTCATTTAAAACATCTCATTGATATTTTCCTAACTAATGCTGTTTATAGAAATAATTAATTGTGGGGGAAAATGAGGCAGGGGGTAACTGTTTAAAAAGAAATGCACTCATTACCTTACTTATGAAACTGTAACCCCCCTGGTTCATCACCTTTACAATAAATTTTTTTAAAAAAAATAATAAAAGTAATGAAACACAATTTCCATTTTATAATCACAAATACTTTCTTGAACAGACCATTAGATTATAATTAAAGTCTAAACTAGTTTGTACAACTTGCGCCAAATGTTTCAAATTAAGCAGCCTCTGGTTGGGCACTGGTGACTTATGCCTGTGGTCCTAGCTATTCACGAGGCTGAGATCTGAGGATTGCAGATCTAAGCCAGCCCATGCAGGACAGTCTGTGAAACTCTAGTCTCCAATTATCTACCGAAAAAGCTGAAAGTGGAGCTGTGGCTCAAGTGGTAGATATTACAGGGATAGTGCCCAAGCCTTGAGTTCAAGCCCCAGACAGACAGACAGACAGACAGACAGACAGACAGACACACACACACACACAAACATATATTACATATATTATATATAGTTCACACAGCATATATCAATTATATATTATACTATGTATATTATATTACATGATATACATTATATATTATATATAACAAAAAACAAAACAGAAAACATAGCATCTAAATATACTCCATTGCAAATAAGAGGCTAATGTGATTTTTTAAAACTCAATTCAAATTTATTTTATTTTACTTTTTTATTTTGTGCTAGTACTGGGGCTTGAATCAGGGCTTCAAACCCTTGGTTGGTCTATTTGCTCTACTACTTGAGCCACACTTCTGCTTTTTAGTTTTTGCTGGTTAGCTGGAGATAAGAGTCTCTGATTTGTCCTTCCTGGCTGGCTTTAAACTAGGATCTTAAAGAAAGAAAGAAAGAAGGGAGGGAGGAAGGAAAGGAAGGGAAGGGAAGAAGGAAGGGAAGGGAGGAAGGGAGGAAGGAAGGGAGGGAGGGAGGGAGGGAGAGAGAGGAGGGAGGGAGGGAGGCGGGGAGGGAGGAAGGAAGGAAGGAAGGAAGGAAGAAAGGAAGGAAGGAAGGAAGGAAGGAAGGAAGGAAGGAAGGAAGGAAGGAAGGAAGGAAGGAAGGAACTCAATAGAATATTACCTTCAAAAAAAGACCTGGGGGCAGGGAAGGTGGCTCAGTGGTAGAGTGCTTGCCTTGCAAGCATGAGGCCCTGGGTTTGATTCCTCAGCACCACATAAGCAAAAAAAGCTGGAAGTGGGCACTGTGGCTCAAGTGGTAGAGCTCTTGCCTTCAGCTGAAAAGCTGAGGGACAATGCCCAGGCCCAGAGTTCAGGCCCCACAACCAACAAAAAAACAAACAAACCTGTGATCTTCAGATCTCAGCCTCCTACATAGCTAGGATTACAGGTGTGAGCACACTGCACCAAACTGAGTTCAATTTAGTATTTTAATTCGGTAAGCTACTTCACTGATAAGAAGACAATCACAGCGACAGGTCAAGTCGCCCACAGAACCGTGACAGCCCTCGCTTCACTCACTTGGCAGATGATATGACCACTGCATCTTCATCAGAGTTGAGGATTTTTGTAAGGTGACTTGCAACTGAGTCTTCATAAATTGTCATCTGAAAAAAAAAAAGAAAAAAACCTATATCATTGCTGCTGGTGGTGTTTATAAATCAAAGCAAATCAACCAAGTTTACTGAACTGTAGAATTACTTTTCTCAAAGGATTCTCTGCCAAACTGTAAAGGGCTTTGTTGTATAACTACTTACAGATAAAAATAAATATACAGACAACAGACAGACAAAAAGACAGACAGACAGGTAGATAAAGAATAGTTCCCCTCTCCCCATCCCCCAAAAAAGGACAAAGAAAAGTATGTCTGGAGGAATGGCTCAGGCAGTAGAGTGCCAGCCTAGCAAGTATAAGGCATAGCAAAAAAATAAAATTTGATAATTTTTTAAGTTTAGATTTTTTTTAAATTTAATTTTATTTTATTTGTGAACATACTGTACAGAGGGGTTACAATTACATGGGCAGGATAATGCGTACATTTCTTACCAAGCATTGCAACCTCCTCCTTTGGTTTACCCTTCACATCCCTTCCCAGAAAATTTAATAATTTTGACGAAACCATTGTCTGTCATGAATGTAAATATACAATCACGTAAGTAAATGTATCTCTTAAATATTCAAAATTTCAAATGCCAAATATACTGTCTCTATATATACTGTCATATATATGTATACACATACATATATATGCATATATATACATATATACATATATGCATATGTATGTATATATGTAAGTCATATAGATGTCTGTATATGACTTTTTCTATTTGATTCAAACTTTAAAATCTCATTTAAAGAGTACATCTTCCTGCTATGCAAAAATATGCACAAGATTTAAATAACCTCATATTCAGCAACACCCGTCAAATGTTTGCTTCAAATACATTCCAAGTCACAAGCTCAGAATCTTTGAGTTTTAAATGTAGGACTCTGATTCTCTTCTCTCTCACTCAGATAGCTTGTCACTGCCTTTCTCGCCAATTATATATTTATGAAGATACAACTGAAGGCTAGGCACTGTGCTGCATGAGCTCAGCTACTTGGGGAGCATAGGTAGGAAGGTAACAATCCAAAACTGGCATAAGCCAAAATGATACCCTACCTGAAAAGTAACTAACACAAAAATGGGCTAAGAGTGTGACTCAAGTGGTAGATAGCCTGCCTGGCAAGCATCAAGCCCTGCAAGCTCTGAGGCCAAGCCCTAATACTACAAAAATAGATATAATTACAGACATAATTAATATCCTTCCTGCCTAGTCTCTTCTCAAAAGAACCATAGTGTTAAATTACATTCAAGTCTACCAGTGATCCCTCTGTATGTTACTATTAAATTTCTATCTTACCTCCTTCAAAGGCAGATTATGAAAAAGCAAGAAAGGAGAGGAAGCCAGGCACCAGCGGCTCACGCCTATAATCCTAGCTACTCAAGAGGTTGAGATCTGAGGATTGTGGTTCAAAGCCAGGCAAGGCAGGAAAGTCCATGAGACTCTTATCTCCAATAAACCACCAGAAAACCGGAAGTGGTGCTGTGGCTCAAGTGGTAGAGCGCTCACCTTGAGCTGAAGAGCTCAGGGACAGAGCCCAGGCTCAGAGTTCAAGCCCCATGACTGACCAAAAGAAAAAAGAAAAGAAAAGAAAAAAAAGAAAAGAGAAGAGAAGAGAAAAGAAAAGGAGAGGAAGGTGGAACTTCAAAGTTACATACAATACTGTATTAGACCCAAAATCTACTTTATTAGTCTGCTGATTTAACCATCAGAAATGGTATCTTTAAAGATCAGAAAAGTAAAGCTACAACTTCTAAAAATACAAAATAGGGAGATGATGTTCAGAGATTAGTTTTATTCTCTTCCCTGTGGGAAAATATTTTAAATCATTACTCATGCCATTAACAAATGAATGAATGAATGAATGCCAGTTGATTCATTTATTAATGTCATTTAGAGCCATATGAAACCAATACCTAAAGAAATCCAAGTCTTTAATCCATTAAAGATAAATAAAAACAAAATTTACCATCTCTTTCAGAAGAAAATTTGTCCAAGGATGAAAATTATAGATGTCACTTTTTAACCTACTTCCAAGTCGGTTCACTTAGCAAGGTTGAAAGTTTAGTAATAATCACAGCTGACATTTTTCATTGTGTACTGGACTATCAAATTATGCCTTTTTAATATTCTTACCCTTTCACTGTCCTGTTTTACAGCCAAGGAGCCTGAGGCAACATCAGCTGAGTGTTTTACCAATGTCCTATAGCCAGAGAAGCACAACAAGCTGAGAAGCTCTAGCTCACTTCTCAGGTATTTCAAAGGCCCAAAAGTCCATCAGAGGGTGTCAGGCCTTGCTCAGCAGCAAGAACATTTACTGTCATCTTGACTTATACTACCCTTTGTTATGAAAGTACATTTAAAAAAAATACCAGTTTCAGCCAGGTGCCAGTGGCTCATGCCTATAATCCTAGCTACTCAGGAGGCTGAGAACTAAGGATCACAGTTCAAAGCCAGCCCAGGCAGGAAAGTCCATGAGACTCTTATCTCCAATAAACCACTAGAAAACTGAAAGTGGTGCTGTGACTCAAGCAGTAGAGCACTAGCCTGGAGCTGAAGAGCTGAGGGATAGCACCCAAGCCCAGAGTTCAAGCCCCACAACCGACAAAATAAAATAAAATTAAAGAAAATACCAGTTTCATTCATAGCCCATTGAACTTAAAAAAAAAAGAGTAGATTTCCTTCAGGTATTCACAATTACAACCCATCTTCATAATGTGATTACACAGAAATGATAGAAGTAAATCATCTGCCTCTATTTTATACATTGGGAAATTGACATTTCTGAAGTAAGCATCATTAAGTAGTAGATTTTTTTGGTTTTTGGTTTTTGCCAGTCCTGGAGCTTGAATTCACGCCTGGGCACTGTCCCTGAGCTTCTGAGGCTCAAAGCTAGTGCTCTGCACTTGAGCCACAACACCTAATTATTTCTTGTGGATGAGACCCTAAGCCTACCCCCCCCCTCGCCCCCCGCAATGCCCTGCCTGCCTGGTCCTCCTTCAGGCTGTCTGTAGGCTAAGCCAGGCCAGACCAGCAGCCAGAGTGACCATAGGGTTTAGAGTCAGTCAGCCCCTGCCTGGCCCTTCCGGCTTTTTCTGAGTAGTTTATTGCAGGTAAGAATCTTTCCTGCCTGGCCTGGTTCTGAACCATGATCCTCAGATCTCAGCCTCGTGAGTAGCTAGGATTACAGTCCTGAGCTACCAATGCCCAGCTTTCCTTTTTTCTTTTTGGAAAGAAAAGTAGTAACCTTTACAAAAATATTACTGAGAAAAGATTTGTTTCTATAAAAACATGACTGATGGTCATAACTAGGTAGGATAATGAGAGTAAAAATGTTGGAAATGAAGCAGGAAATATCTTAATTTTCAATAGCAATTCTGCATCTAACTTCACATTTAAAAATTTTATATCAGAAAAAGATTTTAAAACTTCAATGAGTTTTGCTAAGTAACAGCCCCGATCTCTAGTGACCACTCCTTGCCTCAGTTTTGACAAGATCATAATTTTATTTTTGACAAATGTTTTCATTATGAAATGAACTTGAATATTCCTGAGGAAAAAATAAGTTATTATAGATCAAATGGTCTTAATAAGTCAGAGAAGAATCCTCTGGCATTTGGGCTCTGCTGTAAATCAATTCTGGTTTTAAGGTTTAATAAGAATGCTAAGCCTGGGCTAGGAAGGTGGCTCAGTGATAGAGTGCTTGCCTTGCATGCATGAGGGCCTGGGTTCGATTCCTCAGCACCACATAAGGAGAAAAAAGCTGAAAGTGGCGCTGTGGCTCAAGTGGTAGGGGGCTAGCCTTGAGCTGAAGAGCTGAGGGACAGCGCCCAGGCTCAGAGTTCAGGCCCCACAACTGAAAAAAAAAAAAATGTTAAGCCTTTTAAAACATCTAGGACTACAGACAACTGAGGCCTGCAGCTGAGGTAGAAGGAAGTAAGATGCCTTTCTTCCTTTGTTTTTTCTGCATCAACAGACTTGTCCTGCTGCCCCGCTTCAAGGAGCAGGCAAGGTAGTGAGGAAGAGATAACATCGAGTGTGGTACATTTGGAGATTGCTTAAGGGAGCTAGGATGATAGTAATCAATGACAGGTGCTCATGGCCAGTGAAGGAGATGGGGAGAAGCTAAAAGGAAGCTGCCACCAGCTGGGCTGTCCTGCAGGTTTATCGGTAAATAGAACACCGCAAGACAAGCAGACACAAGCAGGAAACTTGCATCCTAGGTAACCTAAACACATCTACTGTATGAATGAATCCTCACAACACTGCAGCTTCACTCTACAGGGGAAGTAAGGAAGCCAGTGAAAGAAAGAGATATGATTTACATGACACCTCCAGTGTAGGTGGTCACTACAGGCTATCTTAGATCTTCAGGAGTCTTTCCTCCAGGGACAGACTAGTGTTGATCAATGATAGCATACACTTACCAAATTAAAATGAAGTTAAAATATTGCCATTACCATCATGAGTAGGTGGTCTCATCCCTTATCCCAAGATAGCTACCCCCATTTCAAAGGATAAATAGGTAAAGGATTGATCTTACATAAAATTCTTCAGGCGCTTCTGGAGGTAAAGAAGCCTTTGGTGGCAGTTTGAGCTCATACGTCATTATACTCCACCTGAGGAGAGAAAATACTTTATTATAATTGTTCACACATGCGTGTGCGCGCACACACACACACACACACACACACACACACACACACACACACACACACACACACAGAGAGATAAATCCATCCTTCCATTCATTTGTCCATTAAACAGATAAATGCTGAACATTTAAAAGTGATAAATATATACATGGATGTTTTGTGGACTACGGTTTTTATTGAATTTTAAACTAAAAATGAGGATCTGAAACTTTGGTAATCTAATAAAACATTGACTCATTTTATAATTTTACCATTCCTTCAATAAGTGGAGATTTTACCATTTCTCTAAATATTTAAAGAACATGCCCACAACAAAATGCTCATGCATACCATTTATCTCATTCTTCACTGAGTGAAAAATAATTTTTTTTCAAAAATTCTTTTCTGTTCTACTTTCAAAATAATCTTCAATGCAATTTACTAACCAGATTTCACAAATTATTAATGTCTCCAATCCAAAAAATGTCTAAAAAATGTTCTAGATGAAATAAATGAATATTACTTTAGTTTTCACTAAGCAAAAAATTTCAATTGTAAAATAAACAGATAAATTTTTCTACAGGATAAAAGAATTTCCTAGAGAAAAAAACAAGCTACTACAGATGAACTTAAAAAAAAAAAGTCACTACCTATGTACTAACCACTCTTGCCAAAGCAAGTGCCAAAGTAGCACATATTTAGACATGAATTGAAAATAAGGTAAATGCCCTTCTTAATTTAAGAATGAATACAAGTACAGGCTTCGGGGGTAGATAGAAATAGAAATAATACTTCAAGCAAATTTATTTCAGTTAAATATATGTATTAGCTTCAAAACAATTTTAACTCAAATTTAGTGTTAAAGAAAAGCAGTCAGTTCAGGATAATCCCTTCTATCTCAAAAATCATGTTCAAAATTGGAAAGATCTTTAAGTCAGGACATTACTATAAGACTAGCAATATGAGATAAAAAGGTTTTACAAGAACAACAGAGTATAATAAAAGCAGTACTATAACATAGCTAGAATCCAAAGGCAAATCCTAAGCTCAGTGTTCAAATAGAGCTTCTGTATCATCAGACTAACTGAATTCCAAATTTCCAAAACTCCTCCAATAGACATACACTGTTTCTTAAAATATGTAAATGTGCAGATATTATTCAATTCTTGATTTGAAAATATACAGATATGTATTTTATATATTATATATTAATATATAAATTTATAAATACATTTGCATTTAAGCATCAAAAGACATCTATCCATCCATCCATCCTTCCTATCCATCCATCCATCCATCCATCCATCCATCCATCCATTGTGTAACAGATAAATATTGAATGTCTCTTAAGCACCTGTGCAGCAAGCTTGAGACCCTGAGTTCAATGCACACACCTGCACACGCGCACACACACACACACACACACACACACACACACACACACACACACACACACCACAAGCAAATAAGGCTTTCTAAAGAAGCACTAGTCTAGCATAGAAAATAAGGATCATACAAGTAATCAAAATATCTAAATTTGCAAATATACAAATACAGAAAACTGCAACTGGAGACATAAAATTTTAATTTATAGCTGGGTGTGGTAATGCACAGTTGTAATCCTAATTCTAAGGAGAATGATTCTAATATGTGGAGGATGATAGTTCAAGGCCAACCTGTTCAAAACAAGTTCCTAAGACCTCATCTCAATAAGGAGCTTTACATGTCACCCAGCTACATGAGAAGAATAAATATGAGGATCACAGCTCAGACATAATGTAACACTACAAGAAAAATATGAAAAGCAAAAAGGGAAGCTCAAATGGTATCAATCTCCTGCCTTGCAAGCGGGAAGGTCCTGAGTTCAAATCCCAGTACCTCCAAAACAGGCCAAGGTCCTTATAATTGGATATATTCTTATAGTCAAAAGAGTTAAAACAATGGAAAGAAATAGACCCTCACTTTCATTTTGTAGCTCTCTCCTCAATATGAGACAGTTTGAGTGAAAAAGCTGGGGAAAGTAGCAGCAAGAAGGAAGGAGTCAGCCATCAGAGGGGCATATTTATACTAGGCACAGAGTCAGAAACCAGATGGCTGGGAATTCTCAGGTCTACAATGCTTTAAGGGGACAGAGTGCGTTGCTGAGAAAAGATCTCTGGAACTGGAGTCTTGGATTCAGGTTTAGACTCCAGTTCTAGTACTAGGTAGCTAGAATCTTCATCATGTCAAAAACCTCCAGAGGCCTTTTAACTAGGAAAATGGAGATGACAATAGTTTGCTCTCTGGCTCTCACTGCAGTGATGACTGAATAAAATTATTGAAAGTGTCAGTCAGACAACCAACACTATTGTTCTTTTCTTATAATCTGTAAAAGCCTCAATCTAAGATCCTCATAATAATGCATTTCTGAGCTATACCACAATGTTTCTAAAAATCCAATAAGTCAAAATGTAGAATGAGAGTGATTTTTCCCCCTGTGGTGCTAGGGTAACCGTTTTATGTTTAGTTTCTGTGTCAGTACTGGGGCTTGAATTCAGGACACAGATGCTTTTTCCCTTAGCTTTCCACTCAAATGCTCTCCCACTTAAACCACAGCTCCATTTCCAGCTTTTTGATGGCTAATTGATTAGAGTCTCAAGGGCTTTCCTGCCCAGCCTAGCTTCTAACTGTGATCCTCAGATTTCAGCCTCCTGAGTAGCTAGGATTACAAGCATGAGTCATTAATGCCTGGCTGGTTTTGATGTTGTTTTTATTGTTGTTTTAATGGCTAGCAAATAAATAAAACACAAGAACAACTATTCTTGTTTCTAATAAAGATCCTATGGTTTTGAATTCATTTTGAATTTTTTTCTTGTGTTTTCTGTGTGTCTGTTGGTAGGAAGGAATTTACCACATTGACCACCTGGATAAGTGACTTTGTACAACATGCAGGGCTAACTAAGCAAACACCCAGGGTACAGGAAACATCTAGCACCATTTCCTAGGATGCAGCTGGAGTGGTCTTTAAATTTAACAAAGAAAGCATTTAAAATATTTTGCTTTTTTGGTAAGCAAAAAATTGGACAGCTGTCTGGGAAATTACCTCCTAGCTCTTTTGTAAACAATGATGATTTTGTTTCTTGCCAATCTTTTTTCCCCTCAGCTTCCTTAAGATAAAACTTGATGAAAAATGCATATATTTAAGGTCTGTAGCCTGATGTTAACATGGTGCAATAATCATTACATTAGCTAGCACCTCACATGGCTACCTTTTTGTATTTTGTAAAGATTGGACACTGGATCCAGCTCCAACCCTAGACTATAAACCATTAGACAGTCAAACTAGTGAGTGGTGCTTTTATGCAATTCTGGATATCGACAAATTTTCTACTGGCCAGCTTTAAAAAAATATTCTGTTAGCAAAAGGAATCAAGCATTACAACATTTCCTTGTGACAGATAAGGTTACAATTAATTAGATTATAGCTCATCTTAGAGTAATTACATTTTAAATTAGTGCCTCCCAGATGAAATTTTGTTATTTTCGGGAAGAGTTTAGCAGATGGTTAATCCTATCAAAGTCGTTTTGATTCATGCTAGCTTAAGGCTATAATGATATTTTGACATTTGTCTCCTCTGCATGGGGGAGGGGAGGTAATTACTACTGAGTCCTGTTGTTCCTTAAAACTCCAGCTCTGAACCCCTTCCTCACAATAATCAGCCTACATATTTTGATTTGTTTTCTAACTGGGCAGATAAGAGATAAAATCAGCTAGGCATAGTACACTGTATCATCCCAGTTACTTGGAAGCAGAAGAGCAGAATCCAAGGTTCAAGTACAGCCAGGCAAAGTTAGTTAGACTTCCATCTCAAAAACCAAATAGAAGACAGAGGGCATAGCTCATGTGGGAAAATAGTTGTTTAACTAAGTGCAACCTGGGTTCAATCCTCAGTGCTGTAAAACTTTTAAGAAAGGTATGTGATGCAGGCCAGCATAAATATGAGTTCCTTCATTTAAAGCTCTCCTTTTAATTCTTTGTCCCTGTGAAAGGATTCTTGTTTCCTTTAAAAATATCTAACTGTTCTTTGGCTCAATTCATTCTTAATATAATTAAGAAGAGATGATCTAACAAATCTAAAGTTTATATATCTCTTTTATCTATTCATTTTTCACAAAGATAGTGGTCTACTTCTTATATTCAGTGAAAGTCCCCCAAAATGAATTGTTTTGGTTTTCTTACTTAAACAGTGATTAAAAATAATTAGCATCAACACAGTCTTCTATCTTTAAAGTAATGTGGTCATCGGAATTGATTTTCAGGGGTTTTTTTGTTGTTTTTTACAATATTTTCAAAAGTATCTACTCCCTGTCTTCAGCTCAGGACTCAAATAGTGGACCAAATAAGGAAGTATCTGTCTTCATGAAACTAATAACATGACTTTAAAAGAGAGATCCCTTTTACCTGTCCAACATTTTGGTACTGGCTCGTTCCAGCTTCTCTAGAATCTGAGGAAGTTGAGTGTCATCATCATAAGAACCTCCCCAGCCAAGGACTCGAGCAAGGTCATTGCCAGTACCCAATGGCAACACCCCGAGCTGACACTACAACAGAGCACAACGTTGAGACTGTTACATTAGCTGAGAGACAAGGCGGCTCTACATTCTACACTCCAGCAAGTACGTTAGTATACATTCCTGTCAACTAGCAAAACAAAAAGATTCCTACTTGCCTGTTTATGTAGGTTGAGCTTGTCAATTTCTGACAGAACCCAGCCTACACTTCCATCTCCTCCGCAAACCAGAATCCGGAAATTGTCAAATTTCTGAAATAATCTTAAACTGAAAGTAAAAAAATTTCATTTTAATATAAATATATTTTAAAAAGCACTTTTCTCAATCTTCATCATTCTGTATTCCTTTTTTGGGATTCCATGTTCAGATAAAATATGAGAACTTTTATATATACGTATTCCACTATAAAAATGAGTACAATATGAGTTCAACTCATAAGAAGGAAAGCGAAGTTATAAGTGGACACAGAGATAAACTTAGAAGGAAAGGGGAGAAAGAAATGAGAAAACTAAAACCAAGGCAGAATTAGGGAAGAAAACTAAAGGTAAAGAAAGTGGTATGAGAGGCAACGTGACGGCTTTCCTTTCATTAGAAGGACATTCCATTGCCTCAAGAGTTACAGACCAGGGGAAATTTAGGGTGGGATGTAAAGTGACCAAGGAAGTTTTTAATTTTTCTTTTTTTGCCGAACTTGGGACTTGACCTTAGGGCCTGGGTGCTGCTAGCACTGTATTACTTGAGCCATAGCGCCACTTTGGCTTTTACAGAGAGTTTATTGGAGATAAGAGTCTCAAGAGACCTTTCGGCCCTGGCAGGTCCGAGGCGGTTTTAAAGGCACTACTGACTCCTGTCAATGTATAGCTTTTAGGATAGTCTTAGCCTATCTATCCTCCTCTCCTCCTAGTCTAAGGCAACTGTTGTACTTAAGTCAGTCTCAATTTCTTTTTTTTTTTTCCTCCTCTTTTCTTTCCTTCGTTTCTCTCTCCCTGCCTTTTCTTTCTTTCTTATGTGGATCCTGGAGCTTGAACTTAGGATTTGGGCTCTTTTCCTTAGCTTTTGCTCTCAAGGGAAGCACTGTACCACTTGAGCCACAGCTTTGCTGTTGGCTAATTGGAGATAAGAGTCTTACAAACTTTCCTTCTCCGGCTGGCTTTGAACCACAATCCTCAGACCTCAGCCTTCTGAGTAGCTAGGATTACAGGTGTGAATCACTAGTGCTTACTTACTTGGCTCTTCATCTCAATTTCTGACATATTCTACATCTTGAATGTATTGTGGAAAATGTGAAAAATATACTGCATCTCAAGGAAGCATCTCAAAAAAATTTCAACCAGAGATAGTCTAAGAGTCTTATAAAATGAACGGCCCCTCACTGGGAAGGCTTATGTATCATTTATTCAGAAAAAGCATAGGTATATACAAAAGGTATATGAAGTTCTCAAGGCATATATCTTTTCAAAATGCTATTTGAATGGTCTTTCTTTTCAGATCTGAAGTTGTATGACATACTAGAAAGCTAAAAAATACAGCTCATAAAAGATTTTCTTTGTCATTTATGTGATCAGGGTCTGATTTAGAAACTGTCCTAATAACCCACGATAGTAGCCATACTGGGGTGAAATTACTGCTTAGGTGAAGTATATATAAATTAATGTTAGCCTTCTGGAAAAGTAATTTTCTCATGCTGTTTTGTATTTTACATCTATGCAAGTTGATCTTTCCTGAAGCTAAGCAAATTATTAGCATTGTGTGGAAGAACATATATTCTGTAACATTTTCTAAGCAAAGTTTAGAATTTGGAAAATTCAGTAAGAAATTTAGAATTAAAATAAGGAAGTTTTTGTTTTGTTTTTTGTTTTGGGTTGGTCATAGAGCTTGAACTCTGGGTTTGGGCGCTGTCCCTGTGCTCTTCAGCTCAAGGCAAGCGCTCTACTGCTAGAGCCACAGTGCCACTTCCGTTTTCTAGTGGTTTATTAGAGATAAGAGTCTCACCGACTTTCCTGCCTGCGATGGCTTTGAACCCAATCTTCAGATTTTAGACTCCTGAGTAGCTAGGATTACAGGTGTGAGCCCATCACCCAGCTCTGCTTGCCAATTGTAATATGCTTTTACAGACTCACGCCTGTAATCCTAGCTACTCAGAAGGCTGAGAGCTGAGGGTCATGGTTCAAAGTCAGCCTGAGCAGAAAAGTCTGTGGGATTCCTGTGTGTGTGTGTGTGTTTCTTTTAATTTTATTGTAAAGATACTGTACAGAAGAAGGGCTACAGTTACATGAGAGATTCCTATTTCCAAAAACCTACTCAGAAAAAGCCAGAAGTGGCGCTGTGGCTCATGTGGTAGAGTACTGGCCTTGAGCACAGAGAGGCTCAGGGGCAGAGCCTAGGCCCTGTGTACAAGCCCCAGGACCGGCAAAATAAATAAATACATACATACATAAATAAATAAATATTGGCAAGCAGAGCTTCAGGCAGAGAGGAGAGGAAAGGTCAATGCTAGATCTAGAGGATCTAGAATTTCATAAGCTACAAAGCCAAACACATGTGTGAGGCCCTGGATCCCAACCACAACATTATAAAAACAATTTAACAAAAGAAAGGAAAGGAAAGATGGGAAGAAAAGGCAAAGGGAAAGGGAAAAGAAAAGGGAAAAGGAAAAGGAGATGGCAGTTACATTTTATTCCAGGTGCTACATATGATTCAAATATTAGTTAGCAATAATGGAATTACCCTAAGTAAGGACCTCCATTCATTAAATCAAACACCTGAGCCGGATTTAACAACTGTTTAAAACGACGAAGGAACTTTACTCCCTGGTTATCTCCACTCTTAGAATTGACAAAAACCAACAGAGGACTAACACAGAATGAAAACGTTGCTCTACAGAAACCTGCGAAAGAACACAACAAAAGGTCAGTGTGTACAGCTTCCTCTCTTAAATGATTAACACACAGAGAAAAGAAGTCACAAAAATAAAAGCTTTTTTTTTATTCCTGGAACATTCAGTTATAATTTAGCCCCTAAATGGAAGTAGGCTTGCTATTAACATTAAAATAATCTCTACAATGAAAATTCATATCAAAGACAGTAAAAGTACTAATTACAGATAACTTGAGATATACAGTCTGCCTTAATGATAATTAAAAGATAAACTACAATCTGTGAATTCAAAGAATACATATATCCGTATTTGGTACTTTATAATGTTATAACTGCTCCTTGCAGTTTTTAAAAAACTAATATTTGTTTCATTTATTGACTGAAATGTAAAATCTAAAAGACTTATACATACACAAATATGTTAGTAGCTATGTTACAACTTTCATTAAAAATGTTATTTTAAAAATTAAATGTACTACTCAGCATCTTAAATGAAATTATTATATAAAAACCAACCAAAATAACCTATCACGGTTCTATTTATTCTAGGAAATCAAATGTACACTTCAATATTAAATATGTCAGAAATACACATACTTACACTACTGCTACATACCATCAGAATCAGTGCTATTTAGTGCAATTGGAGGTATGATAGATACTTTGCATTGGCCAAGTGGGCAGACAGGAGGATATAAATCTTTGCAGGCAGTGTGTACCTAATAACAAACAAATAAACCTTCAAGAGTCATAAAAATAATCAATGTCTGGCTATGCCATAAATTATATCTATAGAACTAGTCATTTAGAATCAACAGCATCACAAAATGGTTAGTCATTCATAAACCACTTTAATAACACTCTATTTAAACGTCCAAAGAGCAGACTATGGATTTTGCAGATGGGAATTTGATTTTGGTTCATACAGCATATTTCTCTGATTGTCTCAGACACAATGCATACCTGGTGAAAGCAAGAAGAGAGGGCAAGAAGACAAGATGCAGAGGAAGAAAGAAGAGAAAAGGGGAAAGGAGGTGGGGAGAGATAGGCAGAGGCAAAATGAAAAAGAGAAAGAATGAAAGAGATTTTAACCAATGTTAAAATAAATTGAAGGTACTTACCTTATAAAAATTGTTAGAATTTAATGAAAATAAAATTTCCAATGTGTCGCTCTTTCTACATTGATCTTACAGCTTTCCATTCACATTGCTTTTATGGAATTTAAGTATGGTGGCACACACATATTTTCTGAGCTAGACCACTGCACTATAAGGCAAAGGAACATGACAAACAGCATAGGCCTGCTAACTCTGGCCAGGCACTGGTGGCTCACGCCTGTAATCCTAGCTACTCAAGGCTGAGATCTGAGGATCTCGGTTCAAAGCCAGTCTGGGCAGGAAAGTCCACAAGACTCTTATCTCCAATAAACCACTCAGAAAACCAGAAGTGGTGCTGTGCCTCAAGTGGTAGAACACTCGCCTTGAGCTGAAGAGCTGAGGGATAGCGCCCAAGCCCACAGCTCAAGCCCCACGACTGACCAAAAAAATTTTTAAAAAGCTAACTCTGCAGAAACAGGGTGTTTCAAGGTCACTTAAGTGATAACTATGGAAAATCATGCAGAATTAGTAAGAGCTAGACTAGTTAGAATACTTTGTGGATTCATTTAGAAGAGTCTTTCCAATGTTTTAACGAGTAAAAGCTGACATTTTATAAAGCATTTTTTAATATGGTCTTATTTCATAAGACCTTTGAGAAAACTGACACATTAATTAAGCCTCTAATGAGTAAAACTTTGGGAGAATAGGTGAAATTTATAGTAATTTATATTCACTTGATAGCCTGTTTGGAGAATATTTTCCTATTATGATTTGTATTAATTACAAACCAAAATGTGCCTTAGAAAAATTAGAATGCTCAGTTAGCTCTAAAAAGGATTTTTAAAATTGCATAAGAATCATAGGGGAAAACAAAGATATTTATAATAATGTTGAGTGAGAAAATATATTGAAGGTAAAAACAACTTACAGCTTTTTAAAAAATTTTTCTTTCAAAAAGCTAGAAATAAATACCTGAAGTTCTAAGAGTAATAGATCAATTAAAAAAAAAAGTAGCAAGATATACTATACTTGGACCCCAAAAAGAAATCTTGGGTAGAATAATAGTTTTTAAGAACCTGTTTATGGGCAGCATTCCATTACAATAAAGAATGACATAAAAGGGCTTTAGGGAGTGGGGTGTACTTAAGAGTGCCTACACAGGATAAATATAAATTAAGGAGAAATAAAAAAGAAACATATAGCTAATAAAACAAACAACTGATAAAGAATGGTGAAAGTATGAGGACATTATATTTGAACTGAGAGGCATCATAAATTACTTTATCAGGTCTGACTTTAAAAGTCTATAGAATCTCTTTTCTTGTGGAGCTTAAGGAAAAATCTCACTGATTAGGAAATCTATTCATTTCTCCCACCACTTATCTTTTCTACATTTATGCAAAACAGTCGTCTTCCTATATTCTTAAATTTGGGGTGACTTCAAATTTAAAAAGCCACAAGACTCAAAACAATACCAAACAAAAATCTGCTCCCGTGCAAAGCCACCACTATAATGGTCAGACAGCATCAGCTACTGCTAAGAGTAACACAAACAGCTGTGACCTGCTAATCCTATGAGCTTTTCAACCAACACTACCTGTCTGCACGACCTCCTTAGTGTGATGTTCCTGATGAAGTCTGCCACTATCAGGACCATTCACTCCCGCTGAGGCACAGTATGTGTACTTGCCTTGCAAAAGAAGGTTTTTGTTTTTGTTTTTGTGGTATTGGGGTCTGAACTTAGGGCTTTCCACTTTTTTTTTGTCCAACGTTGGGCTTGCACTTAGGGCCTGGGTGCTGTCTTTGAGCTTTTTTGCTTATCTTTAGTGCTCTTTCACTTTGAGCCAGAGTGCACCACTTCCAGTGTTTTGAGTGGCTAATTGGAGATAACAGTCCCGAAGACTTTTCCTGCCTAGGCTGACTCGGAACCTTGATCCTCAGATCTCAGCCTCCTGAGTAGCTAGGATTATAGGAATGAGCCACCAGTGCTTGGCTGGGCCTTTTACTTTCTAGGCAGGTATTCTACCACCTGGACTATAAACCCAAATCTTAAATATCTATTTCTATTATATAAACTTCTGTAATTTAAAATACATCAATGCCTACTGAATTTGAATATACACAGAATATACACAGGCTGCAGTAAAATTACATTTTGTATGTCAGCGAAGATGGGGAGATCCGTGTCAGGTAGGGATGCACCTTGTGGGCACCAGGTGGTAAAAGAGGCCCTGAAACAGCAGATCATTGTGAATGAAAAGCAATATGGAAAAAAGAAAACTGTGGAAAGGGGATTATGACACAGAGAAAGGATAAAAACACGAGCAACTATTACAAACAGGGCCTTTGGAAAAATGAACAGGGACAGACAGCAGCGGAATAGACTTAAAATACTGACCATCACAAAGTCATAGTGGGAGAATCATGCAAAACTACCAGGCTCTACTCTGCTGTAACTTCCTTGCTTGCCTCTGAACCCCATGAGAAACAAGCTAATAAAACAGATGAAATACTTCCAGATCTCACCATTGTTTTACACCAAAGGCATTTCCAATCTTGTAGACGGAGAACACTGCCACATGTTTTGTCACAGACCACACACTTGGCACTCACGGGCAGGTTGCCCTCGAGCCATTGGTGAGGCATAGCAACCTGTGGGGCAAGAAGAAAATGCAGGCAGGGTGAAGTCTGGGAAAGGACACCGTCTCACTCTAGAAAAGATATGGAATGACTTCTAATGTAATATGTCATACACGGTGTTCATTCATTTCTCCCCTCCTCCCCCCATTTACTAAGCATCTGTCAGGCTTGAGCCCTGTAGAGTTACAAAGATAAGCAAGACAAAAGTCTGCCCTTTGGGATTCAGTTGAGGAAAAAGGTTATACAAAGGGTTTTATGAAACAGTGATCACTGAGGTTCATCAGAGATTCATATGCAAGGTACAATGGAGACAGTCTGAAAGTGTTGAGGACCTCCTCTGTTGAAAGGTCGTCCTAGAATCTGAAGTGTGAACATGCCAGCTGATCCTTAGAAAAGACTACAGTTTGTCAGCTAGGCATCTAAAGCAGCCCAGTCAAGTAGCAATTCTTAAGGCCCATTCAAATTAGATCTCCCTCAAAATCAAGAGCTGAAGGAAGCTAGGGAAACTATGAATTAACAATTAAAGCTCAAAATCAACAACAACAAAAAATGTACTTAACCCTAATGGTCAACACTCCACTTAACTGCCATCATTATTTTCTACAACAGTGGGGCATAAGAGAGGCAACACTGGGAAAGGGCCAGAGATAGCAGCTTACTCCATCTTCGTCTTCTATGATGTCCTTCCCAATGGAAGCTAGTGTGGTCCATTTGCAGTTATTTGTTGCCCTGACTGCACACCTTTTGTGAGCCTTGAATTTACACACTAAAAAAAAAAAAGGAAGAAAGAAAGAACAAGTCAACTACTTTTAAAATCAGCAATCACTCAGTTTTTTGTCCCAGCCCTGTGACTGTCCTTGAGTATTTTTGCTCAAGTCTAGTGCTCTACCATTTCAGTAACAGCTCCACCTCAGCTTTTTTGGTGGTTAATTGGAGATAAAAGTCTCACAGACTTTCCTTCTCAAGTTGGCTTTGAACTGCAATCCTCAGATCTCGGCCTTCTGAGGGCTGGTGTAAGCTAACATTGCCTGGCTAAAAGACATCATTTTTAACATTTATAAAGACTGAATTTTGGGCTGGGAAGGTGGCTCAGTGGTAGAGCACTTGCCTTGCATGCTCGAGGCCCTGGGTTCGATTCCTCAGCACCACATAAGAAAAAAACCGGAAGTGGCGCTGTGGCTCAAGTGGTAGAGTGCTAGCCTTGAGCTGAAGAGCTGAGGGACAGCGCCCAGGCCCAGAGTTCAGGCCCCACGACCGGACCCAAAAAAAAAAAAAAAAAGACTGAATTTTTTTTGAACCTTTGCTACAGTTCTAAAAATACTAATAGGCAAGACATTATGGATTTAAGTTTTTGCCAGTTGAGAAAATGAATACTAAAATACAATATCATGAAGAAAACCTTTAAGTCCAATAATGAAGACTTTTAACCAAAGTTAAGAACATAGTTTTTGGGGTTTTGTTTGTTTGTTTTTTTTGTCGGTTGTGGGGCTTGAACTCTAGGCTTGGGCACTATCCTGACACTCTTCAGCTCAAGGCAAGCATTCTACTGCTTGAGCAACAGTGCCACTTCCAGTTTTCTAATGGTTTACTGGAGATAAGAGTCTCATAGACTTTTCTGCCCAGGCTGGCTTTGAAACGCGATCCCTCAGATCTCAGCCTCCTGAGTAGCTAGTATTACAGGCATGAGCCACCAGCACCTGGCTAGAATAGTCTTTACAGAGGATATAAGTTTATTTCAAGGTTTTTAAAAAAGTGTTTTATTTTTCCCAACCAATGAAAATTTTCTTTTTCTTTTAAAATGCTTGGAAAAATATTCAGTCATCCCATTATTGATTTAATTACTAACTAAATATACTTAGTGCCTCAGAAGGAGGCACTTACTTTCTTTTGCTTAAATAGCATTTTTGAGATAATAGTTAAAAGATCTTCACAAATAACACAGGACAGATCATATAAGGGAGGAGTTAATTTGGATTCATATGGGCCCTTTTGAATTGTAAAAACAGAAAAGGCTAATTACATCTTTGTTTACAATTATTTTTTACATATAAAAACAGAAAGTTTACCAACTTCACCAAATTTTTCATCTTCAATGAATTTTTATGTATCTGGGACCATGACCCATCTTGAGTTACCTACCTGAAAAATTTCTCATAGAACACCATTACAAACTTCTATAACCCTGGTGACTAATTGTTAATTTTATTGTATGTATTCTCTCAGTTGATTTTCACAGGACTTTATAAGCTATAAATGGCTAATATCCCCACCTGATAGACAAGGAAATTATGTCTAAATGCGTAGTCTTCTGTCCCCTGCTTGGGGGGGGGAGGGCGGAGGAGTGGCAGGGTGCAGAAGGTGTAACCACAGAACTCTAGTCCTCATTGCTATCCTGTGTCATAGTAAATGGCCCAAACAAAGATTATCATAGATTTTATCACTCAAAAACAATTAAAATGATCCTAGTACTACCTTATTATTTCACTGTGATTAGTTACATTATAATTTTCTTTTTTCATTTTGTTTTTTGTTTGTTTGTTTTTGTACAGGTCCTGGGGCTTAAACCCAGGGTCTGGGCACTGTCCCTGAGCTTTTTTTGCTCAAGGCTGGTTCTCTACCACTTGAGTCATCATGTTGTTTCCAGCTTTTTCTGAGTAGTTTATTGGAGATAAGAGTCTCACAGTTTTATGCTTGGGTTGGCTTTGAACTGCGATTTTCAGACCTCAACCTTCTGAGTAGCTAGGATTACGGATCTGAGCCACAAGTACCCAGCTTTAAGATATTTTTACACAAGAAAAACACTGCTATTGGTATTTCATGTAGTCCAAACAACAGTACACAATGCTTTTCATAATTCATTGCTGAAGTATGACATAAAATATATCAAAAGAAAGGATATCTTTTCTTAACTTTGTTTTGCAGGGCTGAGGGTTGAAACCAGATCTATCTGCATAATATACAAACTGTCTGCCACTGACCTGCATCCCTAGCCTCTAGAAGTTACAAGTTTTCTCATGGTAATTATTAATGTATTTGCTGTGGGGAATCACTACTCCTAAGTAGGTTTTCATTTGATAAAAACTCAAATTTTAATTTTAAAAAGAGAACTTTGAGGGTGAAGGTGCAGCTCAATGCTAAATCTCTTCATTTGCCCAGCAACCCATGAAGTCCCTGGATACATCACCAGCACAACAACTGATCATCGATCAATCAGTTATAAGACACTGAAAGTAAACATAAATGAAACAAAACAGAGTTTCAAGCCATGCAATCTAAATAAAAATCAGAATTTTCAGAAGAATATATACACTGTCCTGACCAAAAAAAAAAGTTTTGCTTTCCACAATCAATTGGAATCAAGAATACTAGGATGCTGTCAAGTTCTGTAGTTGCTAGTTCCTAAGTAATAAAATACTATATTTCAATTGATGCTTCCTTTCAGATGATTTTTATCTTTCTCAGAGAAACAGTATTTCCTACCTTAGTCCTCAGCATGCAGAGCTCAATGTTAAGCTATGAAAAAATACACTATGTTCCATCCGAGAGGCTCCAGCCACTGCTTCCCCTCACATCCACACCCATCCCCCCAAGTGCCTTCTTGTGGTGAGTATGTCCGTTTCCCTCCCAATGGGAGAAATATCTGTTGTACAGTCTAGAGTAGAGTTGCTGTTAAGCTGGTACACAGTACCTTCACAGGATAGGCCATGGGAGGTGACTCCAGAAAGACTCTCTCTGCACACGTTACAGAAGGTGGGGCGGGCATGAGAGCAGGCGTACCAGTTATGCATCCCTGAGAAATGTTCCACATTAAACTGGGCCACCTAGAAAGGAAGACGTTAGGACAGAATTGCCAAATAGAGGAATAGCAGATCACAGGTAAACTATGACTACATAGACTACAGCAATCCCCAAAATCTCAACCCATTAATTTAGATATCAAAACACGTTTTTTGGGCTGGGAAAGTGGCTCAGTGGTAGAGTGCCTGCCCTGCATGCATGAGGCCCTGGGTTTGATTCCTCAGCAGCACATGAGCAGAAAAAGTTGTGGCTCAAGTGGTAGAGCACTAGCCTTGAGCTGAAGAGCTGAGGGACAGCGCCCAGGCCCAGAGTTCAGGGCCCAGAGCCAACAACAAAAACAAAATTCTAATTCAAAAAAAAAATCAAAATCTGAGTCTACACCTAATTATTTGACTATATACCACAGTACTGTTCTAATTCTTTGGTTAATACTCATGATGTAAGAATCTGAGGTGACCGAAGGATGCTCTATTACCTCGTAAGGTTCACGAGTTTGTACAGACTTCAGAGAGCTGATCCAATCTTCCATCTCCTTTCTGTTCTCAGCACACAACATCAGCCTTCTGAATGGAGTGATTATCTAAAAGGATAATTGGATCTAGTAATTGTTAACCAATATGAGAGATTTTTGCAAAACCCAACATCTTATGAGACACTTCCACGTGTCTTTTATTTTTAAGGAAAATAAGAATCTTGTAACATAGATGAGTTTTGTTTTCTGTGTTTGATATAGTGTGCTCAAAAGAAATTTAAAAAAGATTCCTAGATTTGTCTTGTCTTTCATCCTGTTGCTACTTAATTAGCAGGCTTTCTAGCCCTTTAATTCTATGATCCCAGACACACTGCCTTATTTCATAAAGCATATCTTGACAACATACATTATCAAGTGATTCATAGTTAGCTTCTATCTATTATAGAATTTTCAATATGGAAAATATTTCTTAGCTAAAATCTAAAAGAATGCAATATTAAGTGGTTGTGTAGTTGATTCACTGTAGCTTATCAAGTAAATTCTAATTGTTGAATTTATACACCATTCCACTGCCTATTTGAATATGATGGATATGAAGGAGTTTATTATGTGGAGATTGTTTTACTTTTTCATTGACTTGCAGGAAGAAATAATAGCAACTTTCATCTTTCTTGTCTTGTCACTAGCCACATCAAATAATTGCACTAATAAACCTTAGATCTTGAGGAATGGAAGATTCAAGCTGTTAAACATGCTTCAAAGTAAGAGTTTGAACTGACTTGAAAGAAAACCTTTTATGTGAATGAATACAGAATTCTGGATGCAATCTCAAAGTTACTAAATCGTACACATTTACTGCAAAGAAAGGACCATTTCTGTACCCGGAGAACAAGAATAAAATGCTACATTTCTATCCAGAAAGTATCCCCAAACAGTATACTAGAGATGGATTTATATGGAAATGTAAAATATGAAATATAAAATTTCCTCAGGTTTAAGTCTGTTGCTCAAACAATAAATCCAAGTGTTCCACATTACACAAGGGATGAAAAATGACCTTAAAAAAAGAAAAAGGAATGCTTCCCTTAAAGAGGAAACTAGTGAGCCTGACTCTCTTCTAGTGATGGCAGAAAATAAATCTCAACAGTATAAAAAATGAACCCAGGAGGTGAAGGGTAAACAAAGGAGGAGGCTGTAATGCTTGGTAAGAAATGTATGCATTATCCTGCCCATGTAATTGTAACCCCTCTGTACAGTATGTTCTCAAATAAAATAAAATTAAATTAAAAAAAAAGAACCCATCTCTGACACTCACCAGCCATGACTTCTACTCAGGTCACTGGTTTAGGTCCTACTACACCATCCTTCTTGAGACCCAGAGGCTTTTATTACATCTGACAGGCATTGGGCATTTAAATACAGCCAGCCAGCCAAAGTCACATGGCACAAGGGCACCAACCACTCACTCTGGGTCTTTGTTAATTGCATGTGAAATCGAAGACAACCTCATTTGTGCATTTTCTTCTGCTTTAAATGACCTTCTTTGGATAAAACTTATTAGCTGTTGGTCACTCCTCTTCCTGAATAGTTAATGCAAAGAGCAATGCCTCTCTCATTACTTTGGAGCCAAATGGATGCTTTATTGCTTCACAATGTTTTCCTAGGACAGCTCATCAAATGCAGCAGAGAAGCACCATTAAATCATAATATACTCCTGGCCCTGAGGACTCGAGTAACATTCCAGAAGTCTGAGTTTCACTACTTCACAGATGTTTTCTGAATAAGTATCACCTCTAGCATTTGTTTCTTTATATTTTGCTATAGTATATGTGTAAATATAAGGACTCCCTCTCCTTTGTTATCTTATCATAAGGTAGGTGTTATTCAGACCAAAACATCAGTCTTTATTTCAGACCCTATGGAATTCTAAGTACTACACGATGACTTTAAAACCCAAAGAAGTGAAAAACTATCTTTAATGTCTTTACATTGAAAATCTTTAAAAGCCTTCATGAATTCATAAAATGTAGAGAAAAAAAGAGTAGAGAATAGCTTCTATTTTTTTAATTTATTGTTATTATACAGAGGGATTACATTTATATAAGTCAGATAAAGAGTGTATTTCTTTTTGAACAGTGTCATTTCTTCCTTCACTCTCTCCCAGGTTTTTCCTTCCATCCCCACCTATACATTGGATAGTTCATTTTCAACATAGTGTCTAGTGATTATCACTGCTGCACTTGTTCACCCTTTGTCCCTCCATTTCTGTGTCCCCCCCCCTTACCCTCTCAAAGACAGACAAATGAACAAACAAGACCAAAAGAAGCAAAAACAAAAATAAAAACAATAAATAAAATACCTCTTGTTTCCATTTCCTGGATACTTTTTTTCTTCTTGGAGTTTTTGGAACTATTATGATTACTTCAATTCTAAATGACTCTGGCAAACTGTAACCTAGTCATGTGTATACCTTATCTGCTAATGAAGCTAAATATAACTTAGACATTTGTAATTTCTCTTTTTTAACAAAAACTTGTTTTAAGAAGCACCATGCAAGACCATAACACATTTCTAATCCAAAGTTAAGTTTTTTCGGAGGAAAAAAGAAATGATAAACGTATTTGATGTACAGATCTTGTTATTAATCATAATTAAGAATCTACTGATTATAAAGTTATAAAGAAGTCAGTGTTAAAAAAAATCCTTCCTAAGTCATATGATGTAAAAACATCTGGCTTTGAGACTGCAGTGCTAAAAACACTTCAGGGTGAATGAAGCCTATGTTGGGCTCACTGAAGACAAGCCTGGCTGATCCAGCAAACCTGCACCTTTACCAAAACAGCTCTCTCCACCCTCAGCTACCACTGGTAGACTCCCATGGTCTGAGCCTACCACGATCCCTGACTTCACAGGAAATAATCTGACTATCACAGTTTCAGACTAACAGGCTCTGGGGATACTCAGCTCAACTCCATTACACTGCACCACTTCCTCATTCAAATCTTCATTAGGAAAATACTTCGAGGAAGAACAAATTCTGGTTTTAGAATATCTGATTCAGCCTCTTTATTATGACAAGTAGGACAGGAGTGATGAAAACTAGAAGCTGAGGGATCACTTTAGCACAAGGTAGGGAAAGAACTTTCCCCAGGAAAGAATGAACCTGTAGGGACCAAGTCCAGGAAGTTCTTAGAATCAGAAGACTTCTCAGTTTCTCCAAGAATTTGAATCTTGGCTTCTTAACGTGTCCTCTAGCTTTTAGCTTAAACTGGCCTTGAACCATGATCCTCTCAATCTGCTTCCCATGTAGCTGGTATTATAGCCATGAAACCCCACATCCAGCCTAAATAAAACCGTATATGCAGTAAGAAGACAGTCTTCATTAAAAAGCAGGACAAATAAAAACGTGTGCTGTAATAATTTTGATTGTCAATATTTACTATAGGGAATCTGACTTTTGTCATAGACTACTCAGGTAATAATTATGTGCCTTTTTAACACTAGCTTTACTATTCCTGAATTTGCTAACTGCTTAATCTTAAAATACTTCTTCCATCTTTCTCTATGAAATATATACTCAACTATTTAATTATGTATGTTGCTGTTTTCTTCACTGCTTTTTTTTAAAGGAGCAAAATAACTCTCTTTGACAACTTAAATGTGCCAAACTGCAATGTAACCATGCTATTTAGGGAGCAAAGATACTCGTTTACTTACTGCATTGTTGGTGGGAATGTAAACTTGTTCAACCACTTTGGAAAGTAGTATGGAGGTTCCTCAAAAGACTCCACATAGAGCTCCCCTATGACCCAGCAATTCCACTTTTGGGCATTTACCCAAACTATCACAAACAAGACCATACTAAAGCTACCAGCACAACTATGTTTGTTGCAGCATTATTTACCATAGCTAACATATGGAACCAACCCAGATGCCCCTCAGTAGATGAATGGATCAAGAAAATGTAGTATATATACACAATGGAATTCTATGCCTCCATCAGAAAGAATGACATTGCCCCATTTGTTAGGAAATGGAAAGACTTGGAAAAAAATTATATTAAGTGAAGTAAGGTAGGCCCAAAGAAACATAGGTCCCATGGTTTCCCTTATTTACAATAACTAGTATATGTCTGAGACAAGCAGAAACAGTCAGATAAATTGATGTTAGGCAAAATGAACCCCAAGGATTCAAATGTTTTTTTTTCTTTCTTGCAATTGTTTCTAACATATTTGTAAGATGAGTTCTTTGTTGCTTTGTATGTCCCTCCCCCACAGTATAACCCCTGTTTTCATTGTATTTGATGTTGGTATAATTTGTGGAGGGGAAGGGAAAAAACAAATTGTTTAAATAGGGATTCAGGTGGGCCCATTGCAACAATGAGATGTACAAGATATTATGTCGAAAAACAAACTACATCTTTGGCCTGGGGGTGGAGGGGGTGAGTGGGATGAGAAGGGGAAACAAAGGAGGAGTCAACAATGCTTGATAAGAAATGTACTCATTACCTTGCCCATGTAATTTTAACCCCTCTGTATGGTATTTTCACAATTAAATAAATAAATAAATAATACTTGTATATTTCAGACTAAGCTGGGGTCCTTCACCATCCAGGAGTACAGGTGTACACCGAATCAAAGCTTACCCAACCCAGTCACAACCAGACTTACCAAGTCAAGAGTCTTGATGTAGTGGGAGGTGAGGACAATTGTGGGCACATTCTGGCTAAACCACACAGATGATTCTGTTGCACATCTGTTTATCATCCAGAAAATGTAATATAAGTAGTCTAACTCACCAGACCAGGGTCTGGTCTCAACAATATCAAGCAAGTACTCCAAATCTTCCTAACTTCTTATTCTCTTTCCAGCAACCTTCATATTCTAAAAAATGGGATTCCTCTTGGGGAAACAAAACTATCTTCCTATATCACTATATGTAATATAGCAGAAGTCATAAAATTATGGACTCCAAAGTTATTGTTTAGCAATTTGATGGGAAACACATAGTAGTGTTTTTTTAATCAATCATAATTAGACAGATACAAGGACAAGCATGTTAGGCCAGTCTTGGGCTGACATTTCATATAATGATGTTACACAGTGGTC